AAATTTATGTATCTCAGCTTAAAAATACTTTATTGCTAAAAAATGCTAACCATCATCTGAGCTTTCAGCGAGTCCTCTTTTTGCTGGTGGAGGGTCTTGCCTCGCTGTTGATGGCTGCTGACTGATGGGGGTGGTGGTCGCTGAAGGTTGGGGAGGCTGTGGTAGTTTCTTAAAATAAGACAGCACGATATTTGCCACATCAGTTGACTCTCCCTTTCACGAACGATTTCTCTGTAGCAGGCAATGGTGTTTGATAGCATTTTACCCACTGCAGACCTTCTTTCAAACTTGGGAGTCCGTCTTCTCAAGCCCTGCTGCTGCTTTATCGACCAAGTGTGTGGAACGTTCTGAGCGCTTTGTCCTCGTGTCAACAGTCTTCCCAGCATCCTCACCAGGAGTAGATTCCATCTCCAGACACCAACTTCTCTGCTCATCCACGAGAAGCAGCTCCTCTTCGCTTCAAGTTTTATCACGAGTTTCTAGCAATTCAGTCCCATCTTCAGGCTCCACGTCTAATTCTAGTTCTCTTGCTGTTCCCACCCCATCTGCAGCTACTTCCTCCACTGAAGTCTTGCACCCCTCCAAGTCCTCCACGAAGGTTGGGATCAACCTCTTCCACGCTCTGTTAACATTGCTATTTTGACCTCTCCCGTGAATCAGGAATGTTCTTAGTGTTATCTAGAATGGTGAACCCCTTCCAGAAGGTTTCCAATTTACTTTGCCCAGACCCATCAGAGGACGCACTATCTACGGCAGCTCTAGCCTTTCAAATGTATTTCTTAAATAATAAGACCTGAAAGTTGAAATGACTCCTTGGTCCCCGGGCTGCAGAATGGATGTTGTGTTAGCAGGCATGAAAACAACATTAATCTCGTACATCTCCACTCCATCAGAGCGCTCGGGTGACCAGGTGCACTGCCAATGAGCAGTGATATTCTGAAAGGTATCTCTTTTTTTCTGAGCGGCAGGTCTCAACAGCTGGCTTGAAATATTCAGGCAGTCTTGTTGTAAACAGATGTGCTGTCACCTAGGCTTTGTTGATCCATTTACAGAGCACGGGCGGAGTAGATTTAGCATCATGCTTCAGGGCTCTAGGGTTTTCAGAATGGTAGGTGGCTTCCACTCAGAGACACCCACTGCATCAGCCCCTCACAAGAGAGTCAGCCTGTCCTTTGCAGCTTGGAAGCCAGGCACTGACTTCTCCTCTCTAGCTACCAAAGTCCTACATGGCATCGTCCTCCGAAAGTAGGCTCTTACATCGACACTGAAAATCTGTTGTTGGGCGTGGCCACCTTCATGGATGGTCTTAGCTGGGTCTTCTGGAGAGCTTGGTGCAGCTTCTACATGAGCACCCGCTGCTTCACCTTGCCCTTCTGTGTTATGGAGACGGCTTCTTTCCTTAAACCTCGTGGACCAACCTCGGCTAGCTTCAGACGTTCCTTCTGCAGCCTCCTCACCTCTCTCAGCCTTCACAGAATGGAAGGGAGTTAGGGCCTTGCTCTGGGCTCAGCTTTGGCTTCAGGGAGTGTTGTGCCAGGTTTGAGCTTCCATCCAGACCACGCACAGTTTCTCCAGGTCAGCAGGAAGGCTGTTTTCTTTCCTTATCAGTCGTGTGTTCCCCGGAGTAGCACTTGTCATTTCCTTCAGGATCTCTTCCTTTGCATCTGCCACTTGGCTACCGGTTGGCGCAAGAGGCCTAGCTTTTGGCCCCTTTTGGCTTTTGACGTGCCTTCTTCACTAGGCGTAATCATTTCTAGCTTTGGATTTAAAGTGACGAGATGTGCAACTCTTCCTTTTACTTGTGCACTTAGAGGCCCGATGTCAACATTGCTGTGTCTCAGGGAATGGGGAGGTCTGAGGAGAGGTCGAGAGACGGGGGAGTGGCCGCCAGGAGAGCAGTGGAGAAGTCAGAACACACTCAACGTTTATTGATTAAGTTCGCCGTCTCCTGCGGGCATGTTTCGTGGCACCCCCAAAATAACTACCGTAGTAACATCAGAGATCACAGGTCACGGATTGCCAAAAGAAATATAATAATAATGGAGGAGTTTGAAATACTGCAAGAATTACCAAAATGCAACACACGAGACACAAAGTGAGCAAATGCTGTTGGCAAACTAGCAATGGTAGACTTGCTCGATGCAGGTTGCCACAAACCTCCAATTTGGAAAAAACACAGTATCTGCAGAGTACAATAAAGCAAAGTGCAGCCAAAAGGGTATTCCTGTATTGAAGTCCTAATTTGGAGACAAGATAACCCATTTTGACAAGTTTACCATTTTGATGCCATCATTTACTGAGAAGTTGGCAAGTTCCTTCACTTCCCTGAGCCTGTTCCCTCATTAGTAAATTGAGCGTGATAGGCACTGCTTTGGTTATGACAATTGAGATAATGCATTTAAAGCATTTAGCACAATTCTTGACACATAGTAAGTACACAGTACATATCACTGATGTTATTTTATTTTATTTTAAGATTTTTTTTTATTTGAGAGAGAGAATGAGATAGAGAGAGAGAGCATGAGAGGGGGAGGGTCCGAGGGAGAAGCAGACTCACTGCTGAGCATGTAGCCTGATGTGGGACTCGATCCCGGGACTCCAGGATCATGACCTGAGCCGAAGGCAGTCACTTAACCAACTGAGCCACCCAGGCGCCCCTCACTGTTATTTTAGGCAAGGATGACTAACATTGTGTTTCTAAGTGATTAAGAAAACTAAAACAAGCTGGTGGTGTCTGAAATTAAATTTAGAATAAGGAAAAAGAGGTGGTTTGGTTTTATTTTGTTGTGTGTTTTGTAACTGTTGAAAAATTTGAACTTTAGGCTGAGATTCTTACGTTGCCATCTAGTTCAGGGGAGCAACATTTATTGAATCTATGGGACCAAAGCGAAGATGGACAGTTGCTTATATAGCACTTGAAGATAAAAACAACTATTGAGAGGCACCTGGGTGGCTCAGTCAGTTGAGTGTCTGACTCTTGGTTTCAGCTCAGGTCATGATCTCAGGGTCATAAGATTGAGCCCTGCATGGGCTCCATGCTTGGCAGGGAGTTTGCCTGGGGATTCTCTCCCTCTGTCACTCCCCCAACCTTCGCTCACTCTTTCTAAAATAAATAAATACATCTTTTTTTTTTAAGTTTAAGAAAAAGAACAACTATTGGACACGTATCTCTTAATGTGAGAGCCTCACTGACCAGCTAGCCTACCATATCAACATTATTAACCATCCCACCTCCTAACCATTTCAGCACACAGTGATCTCTCCCAAGAACTCATAAAGCTTACTGACCCCTTTTTGGCCTCAAAAAAGCACTGAGGCAGTTAATTAACCTATCCTGTGGCTCTTCTCTCCTGGGCAGTGTTCAGGGCCAGTGCACACTGGGAGCTGGGCTGGGACTCCTTGAGAAAGACTAGAGTTCAAATCTTATCAAGGAAGCATTCTTTCAAAATACTCTCCTGTATATTCAAGAGAAGGTGCTGATACACTAAATGTATTAGGTGTTTTGCTGTGTTGGAGCATTAGAGAATAAATGGATTAGGGTGGGAAATAAGTGCCTCAGCCAGTGTTCCCCAGAGAATTAAAAGTTGCAAAAGATGTCCTTGAGGATTGAATGGCAAAAATATTAACAGACATTGGGGTGCCTGGCTGGCTCAGTTGGTGGAGTGTGCGACTCTTGATGCCGGGGCTGTGAGTTCAAGCCCCATGCTGGGTATAGAGATTACTTAAAAGTAAAATCTTAAAAAAAAAAAAAAAAATTCTTAACAGGGCGCCTGCATGGCTCAGTCGGTTAAGCATCTGCCTTCAGCTGAGGTCATGATCCCAGGGTCCTGGGATCAGGTTCCATGTAGGGTTCCATGCTCAGTGGAGAGTCTGCTTCTCCCTCTCTCTCTCTCTCTCTCAAATAAAAATCTTGTAAGGAGCGCCTGGGTGGCTCAGTCATTAAGCGTCTGCCTTCGGCTCAGGTCATGATCCCAGGGTCCTGGGATGGAGCCCTGCATCGGGCTCCCTGCTCGGCGGGAAACCTGCTTCTCCCTCTCCCACTCCCCCTGCTTATGTTCCCTCTCTCACTGTATCTCTCTCTGTCAAATAAATAAATAAAAATTAAAAAATCAAAATAAAATAAATCTTTTAAAAATAAAAATTAAAAAAATCTTAACAGACATGACAGGGAACTTCAAATAGTGCCCATGTTGAATAGAAATGAGAAATGGAGAGAGGGATGATTTACCTTGGCCCTGCTGAGGAAATAAAGGAATGAGAGAATATAAGTAAGTAAATTTCTAAGAGAGAAATAAAGGAGTTTCTAAGGTAGTAGGTTTATCTCTTACTCTTTTGTGTAAAACACTGAGACTTTCTCTCAATTTAGTAGATGTTTGCTGAGCTTCTGCTGTGTACAGAGTAATAATGATGATATCGAACATTTGGGAGCTTACTATTTCTAGGCCTGTTTCCTCTGACTAGCAAAGCGGTCTTTACCGAGACAGACTCATCCGTGGTGGAAGTAGAGATGGGGGTTGGTCTTGTTTGAGCACGAGGGAACACATGGACCAGGGGTGGGAAGCCAGCATTTCATCCTATAGTCCTTACAGAGTAGCAAGTTGCAGAGAAGCTTGGGAAACGAAAGGCAGAAAAATCTTAACAGATGCCCTTTGCACAGCCTCTGAATCCACCCTGAAGGTCTCCTCTGTTTGCAGGCATCAGAAGTTGAGAGACAACTCTCCATGCAAGTCCATGCCCTCAGAGAAGACTTTCGGGAGAAAAACTCATCAACCAACCAGCACATCATCAGGCTTGAAAGTCTTCAGGCTGAGGTGAGCCTCCCCCGTGTGGTGGTGCTTGGAGATGGAAGTGCTTTTCTCAATGAGGCACTCCACTAGATCTTTCGGATAAGGAGTCCTCTGAATTGGGAAACAAAACCCTGCTCTATCTAAAAATCTCTAAAGAGAGATGTATCTGTGAGAAACTAAATGGGGAGCACTTGATTCAAGTTCTACTGGGTAGCCTCTTGTCTGGAAGAATAAGGTTGCTCAGAGTTACTGCTGAGTGTGTTGAAATCATGAATGACCTACTTTTACTGAATATGTTGATCGGTCCAAAAACATTCTTGCCAATCCTAAATACAAGATGGGAAAGAGAATTTTCCCTTACTCCATTCTATTTAGGTCCAGTTCAGTCCACCTTATTGGGACCTATTATATTCTCACATACAAAATGAGAGTAATAGAAGTAGCTGCTTCATAGGGTTGTTGTGTTTGACGAGTTAATACATGGAAAGCACTCAGTGCAGAGTGTATGAGCCAGATCACGGCAGGCAGGGTCTATGGCCCTCAGTGGGCCAGAGGGAAAGAAAAAGTAGCACTTAGGGGACAACTCTGTGAGAACCCAGTTGTGGGAGGTGAGAAAAGGGGAGTCCTATCACCAGCCCAAATGGGGGGGGGGCCTCCCCCTTCTCCAGAGGATTCCGCCTAATCTGATCCTGAGGGCTCCTAAGCCGGTTGTCTGGACAGCAAACCTTTGGCTAAGTTACACCTGAAGGGCTAGACTAGGACCAGCTGAATCACATCCCCACTGTGGTTAAGGAATCAGTAGGTGTGGTCAGGCCCAGAGAAGCCCAGATGGCTGCTCCCCTGCTTTGGAAATGACCTGAAGATGTTTTTCCTAAAGTCTGTCAATATCTTCTCTTTTCTCCTGCCTGTCATTCCCTTCCTTTCTCCCTTCCCTTGGAAATACTACTGGTATTGAGCAGCAGGTTCTTGAAGTAAGTAGTTGGTTCTGGTGGGGTTTGGCATGCCTGTCTGTGACCACTTGTGTGCATGACTTGCCATTCAACTGCCTTTGCCAAGCTCTGACTCCTTCGAGTTGCCTGTTTTCCTCTCCCCTCTGCTTACTATTTTCAGACCCTCGTGACTCAGGGTCATTCCCAGGAATGTTAATTTGGCAGATTTGGTCACAAGCTTCAGGGTATATAGGGTGGGGTGATGGAGTGTCCATGCCTTGCTTCATCCGGTAACACTGCTACTTTAAAAAGCCAATCTATGAAGTTGGTTAAGCACGTTACTCCATGTAGCTCTGAACTTCTAAGTTTTTTTTAAGGGACCAGGATTGTCTATCAGAACTGTATTACCTCATTATTTCACTGAGTGGAACTTGAGAAAGAAAGATTATTCATGGAAGGAAAATATAAAGGTCAGAGGGTATTTAAATGAAAATCAACTAGAGTAAGAATTCCTTCACGCAGGTAACGTGCTTCAGTGTGGGGAATAGTGGTCCCATTCACAGAAGAGACTTATTCCTTTTTGTCCCTCACCCAGGTGCACACTTGAGACAGTATTTCTTTGTTTGGCCAGATACCTGATCTCTCTGGACAAAGGCCACATACTTCATTTCCCCAGGACAGCATCCTATCTGATTGATTGGTGGCCAGGGAAGATCTGTGCCCTCTGAACAGAATTCTAGCGTGGAAAACGAGAACAGACAAAAAACAGAGGGAAAGGTGGATTTCAGAGAACCTCAGACATATTACACATTCATTTCAAAATCTCCCCAGGAAAGGGTCGGAGGTTGGTCTCCTTAATGGATTGTTCTCCAAGCCAAACTGGAGAGCGTGGGGAATATCTTAACCATGTTGGGAGCAAGAAGCCGGGTGAGAGATGAGTCCAGCAGGGAACTGATAGACGGGAGGAGCCAGTGGGATCTTCATGCAGGACTTGGGAAGGCTCCCGTGGCCCCTTAGCAAGGCAGTGTTCTTGGGGTGCAGCGTCGCTGGTCTTGTGGAGTGCCAGCCCAGCCCCTGAGCCTACAGACCTCGCAGCCAGAAGACTTGGCATCTCTTTCCTCTTTTCCTTTGTTTTCTCACTGACATTGAAGAGACTGACAGGCCTTCCTAAAAGATTTATATCTCCTGAGACTGGCTAGATATGCAGTGTACAAACACACCAGCCTGTTTAATAAAAGGAGTGAAATTGCTCCTATTCACAAATGACTGGCTCAGGCAAAAAGACGCTTTGAGTAAAATCAGTTACTCACTTGTGTCTGTGTCCTGTTGCTTCCAAGACAAAGGCTGAGGCAGGCACTACTTTGTTTCTGTACCCTGCCGGCTCCCCCATTAACTTGGGACACCGGCTCTGAACTGCAACCTCTAGAGCCAGACCTGTTAGCAGTGGGGGAAAGTACAGAAGAGACCCGTAAAAGTATGACAAGACTGTGGCTCAAGAGGCTGTCTCAGGCATTTTCCTGCACCTGTGACTTGAGAAGGAAGGATGGAACCGCAGGTTGGGTTCCACTCCCCCATAAATTGTGGGGTTGAGGTGAAGTTATAGGCTGGCAAGGTGGAGCCCTTCTGTGTCTTATCTGTGGAATTTCCAGAACACTGACCTTCCCTTCCTCTGCCTGGCATCCCACATTCCAGCTTCCCCAAAGCTCATCTCCCATCCCTTCCCAGACAGGTTTCTAGGAGGGAGGGGCTTTCTCTGCAGCTTGGGAATTCACAGCTGTTCTGTCAGAGATGGGGGCACCAGGCCGCTGGGCAGAGCACTTGGGGAGACACCTGCCTTCATGTTTGGGGCTAGTCCCTCCCTTCCTACTCATCAGACTGGGTGTAACCGCACACCACCCCTGTGACTCCACCCTTTCAGATCAAGATGCTGTCGGATCGGAAACGGGAGCTGGAACATCGTCTCAGGACCACCTTAGAGGAGAACGACCTGCTCCAGGGGACTGTGGAGGAGCTCCAGGACCGGGTGCTGATCCTGGAGAGGCAAGGCCATGACAAAGACCTACAGGTACTGAGGCAGAGAAGCTGCCCTGCAGAGCCGGGCCAGAGGAAAGGAGCATGTAGCTGCCTAGCCAGAAGGAAAGCTGAGGGGCCAGCACCACCGTAGGGCTCAGGAGAGGGTAAAGCCGAGGTCTCTCTTTTGGCCCTGTTGTCATTCTCCTTGGGCACTCACAAACTTGGCCAGTCTGGCTCTGCTGAAAACAAATGCATCACTACCCACAGGTCATCCTTCCAATTTGTTCTGAGCCACTGGCCCCTGGAGCAATTTCAGAGAGTTCTTTCTGGGCTATTAACATGACTGGAACATGAGGAGTGTCATTCTGCCTCCTAGGGTTTGTGAAATCTGCCAGAGGTTTCAGAGGGAGCCTGTGACTTTCTGTGCTTGCTCACAATTCTCTCTGCTGCTGCTTTCGTAGGCTGATGCATTTAGTCAGCTTGCACTGAGCAGAAATCAAGAAGCTGCCCGCTGAACACAGCAGGACTTATATCCTGCTTCTAACAGTTGCTAGAAAAGGCATAGGCTGACCCTTTGTGAACCTAATTGGCCTCTTTTTCCTTCCTAAAGGAAATCACTTCATGGCCGTATTTGTCCTTGTCTGGGACCTGCCACCAGTCCTCAGCTGAATCCCCAGGCTCACACTTGACAACCCCCTAAACAAAAAGATAATTGCCCCTAGCCTCCCCAGAAACAGAGTGTGACATGTGCTACAAAGGCGGCTTTGCCAGAGTGGCCTAGGAGCACCTGGGGCCAGTGGCTAAGAGTGCACTGCTTCCCTTGGGCACCCTCTGAGGGTGCCAGGCAGTGGGGGAGATTGCAACAGTGTCGTTTGTATGGGGGTGGTCAGCCAAATGTGTGCGAGCATCAGGCAGGTTCCTCCCCAAAGACCAGGCCATGGCAGGCCCCACTGGGCTCAGCGGTTGGCTGTTGAGGAAGACTCTAGGATGTGGGATAAGGAAACATCTTAGGCTAACATCACTTGTTATTGACACCGTCAGCTAAGCTGTCACCTGAGTGATTAACCTCCTTAAGGGCAAATGAGCAGTTTTCCACCCTCCAAGTTTTTTGCACCTTCAGCTTGGAACGTTGCAGGCAACATTCCGTAAATGTTGAATAGAAAATGATGCTGGCTAAAGCCTCACAGCTGTTTACAAGATGGAAAGGAGTTGACTCATATTCTAAGGTTGACGGTGGTTAATAGTGGTGAATGTTTGTATACTTCTGTACAGGGTACAGAGTGCTTTTACAAACATTCTAAAACTGAGGCTTAGAAAAAAGTGAATCATTTACCAAAGTAGTATAGTAAGTCCTTGTTAGAATTAAAATTAGAGCCTCCCACCTTCTTCACGTGGTGCTCAGTGACAATGTCTAGCGCATCCCTTGCCTCTGCAAGTCAGCGTCTCGCCAGCATTTCTTATCCCCTTAAGGCACTCTCCTGAGGTTACTGAGGTAGAAGATGGAGGAGAAGGAAAAGAAATACAAAAAAATGCAGAAATGACCCCTGCCTAAAAGACCTTTTCAGTCTCGCTTGAATTCACAAATGATAAGTCCTTATTTCAAACCAAGAATTGGGGACCAAAGTACAGCGGAGAGCAGGACCAGTGTCCCCCTGGCTGATGCCACGGGCTGCGCGCTCTCTGCAGCAAGAGCCCTAGGTCACACCACGTTCACAACCTTGCCATCTGCACATCCGCTGTCTTCCGACTGGGCTTCTTCAAGAACGAGAGGGTGTCACTCCCCGCATGGCCTATATCAAGTCAGGCAGTGCACACTTTGATTTGGAGAATCTGTGTTTATGGGCTGAATTGTTATCTTTCCCACCTTTCTGTGATTCTTTTCCTTCAGCTCATATGAAATTTTCCTTAAGCCGCTGCTAATTACCAGTATCCTCCAGAAAGCCCTTGCTATTGCTAAAATGGTCTGTACTGATACAGAAATAAAAATGCCTGCTTAGGTGGTAGTTGAGAGGTCTCAATCAGACTTGCAAAATGTAGAGCTTGTGTCCTTGGAATGTGTATAATTCCATGATTTTAATCCTTTGTTTCAGCTAAAGGATGAGAAGAAGGCAGAGTAGGCAGGGCGTCAGGCCTGCACAACCAGGGTAGCCCCTCCTAAATCTAGTCCACCATGTAGTTGGGGTTCTACTGTCTAGCGCAGATTTTTAAATCACTGATCAACTCCAGCTCTCATTTTTTTTTCAGACTGACAGTAGGTATAAAAATTATTATTTGTTGAATACCCAATAAATTAAAAAACTGGACATTTTGCTAAACTCTTAATACCCAGTAAAGGATTTTGTCCCTCTAAGGACCACTTAACTGCCCTGTACGATTCATACCCACCTGGGCATCTTACAGATGTGTGCAGGGGTCTTGTCCCAGGATTTCATCAACAGAAAGCATAGGCTCCACTCTGTGGGGTGACCCAGGAAGCAGATGGCCTGCAGTATAGACTTTGCTCTGACAATTAACACCATAGCATCTTAGTTCCCTCAGTGAGAAATGGGAGGGTGCTCCCACCTCCATCAACTTGAGGGGCATGAGTATTGTAAGCTTAAACTAAGTAAGGCATTTGGTGTCTTCCTTATTATTTATTTATTTAGTCATCTTTGTTATACAAAGGATGATATTTCTTATTTTAGAGGTTTCTTACATTTAATAGACTCCTCTGGTTTGGTTTTTCTGCATATGCTTGTGGATCATATTGACCAGAGAGGGCAGACCTGTCCTGGTCTTTTGTTCTCTTGCTGTTATAATTAATTAAGCACCCTCGAGTGTACATGAGTAATTGAACTAATTTTGTCCAGTGCATAAGAACTTGTACTTGTCTGTGCTGAAGTTCTCCTGCTGAGATGTATGTGGAGTTGCCTAGAAAATAATTGTAAAGCATTTTGCCAACTTAGTATGCCATTTGTAATTGTGCCAAATGCTTCCTAGGAATGTCTTCTTTTTTTTTTTTTTTTTAAACCCTAATTTCTTCTAAGTTTTCTCAAAACTGGGGCTGGAGGAGTTCCCACTGGACCAGCAGGTATTGCTGATCCTTGGGATCCATGCAGACAGAGCAGGCTTGCCCATTCCTTTTTCATTCTCTGAGCAGCCAGGCTCCAGACTCTTCCTAGTAAAGGCGCATCCGATCACTGGTGCTATTAGCCAGCCCTTGTCTGATACTGACCAGCAGAGGCAAGGCCCTAGGGCACCTAAAGGATGGGCTGGAGGTTCTGCAAGGCAGCTTGCTCCACTCATGGGAACTACAGAGCTCAGGGTTGCTACCCACTGCTGCCCAGTGTCTGCCTCTCTGCAGGAGCCACAAGCCTATCTGGCCAGCAGTCTGGAACAGACAGAACCGTGTCTGCTCTATTTTAAATGAACAGGGGTGACCCCAGAAATCCTGTGTTATGAAAGGATAAATTAGTTTAATTTAAATCCTAGGAAATTCTTTCGCCCCCCCCCCCCATAAATCTTTTAAAAGGGGTGGGCAGTCCACAAATACAGGAGTAGGAAGCTTTGCTCTTGTGCAGGTGTCATCTGTGGACATGTGCATAGCGGTTGGTGAGCAGATGAAGATTCTGCAGGTAGGGTCTGTTGTGTTAAGAGCTAGTGTAGTGGTGGAGTGCACTAGGAGCATACAGCGCTTAGCAGCCATGGTGGCGTCAACTTTCAGCAGTAGTAAGCTCACCAGGTAATGGGGCCTTGTTTGGATTCCACGGGGATGGGACCCCAGAGAACGCAGAGAGGAGAGAAGTAGCAGCAGCAAGAGAGAGGAAAGAGCCCTGGCCTTTACATTGTGATAGCTGCATTGCTGTCCCCTCTACTGCTGGCACCTCTCTCCCTCTCTGAGCCTCCCAGGCCCCGTAAGCCTCTCCCAGGCCTGGGCCTTCTCTGTAAACTGTGAGGTATGACACAGAAAGTACAGAGACCTCTCTTCTCATGGGTTTGGGAATTCTTGGTATTTCTACCCAAATGTTATACCAAATCCTACCCTCAGCTTCTTTCCAAACAACCCGTTTCCCCTTAAATTTTTTCACTAAAATACAACATACATACAGTAAAGCATACAGATCTTAAGTGGACAGCCCAGTGAATTTTTACAAATGTACATCCCTGTGTAGCAGATGCAGATCAAGATAAAGCCCATTATCTGCACCCTACAGGCTTCCCTCTCACGCTTCCCAGTCAGTACCCTGACACTGCCTCTTCTGCCTTCATCTCTTCTGTCTCAATGAAGTTTTAGAATATTTTATAAATTAATTCCATATTGTTTTATGCCTGGTTTTGCTTGACATTATGTCTCTGAAATCCATCCATGTTATGGCATAGAGTAGCAGTGTGTTCTTTTTTTCACTGCTATATAGTATTCCAGCATGGGACTCTCTCCATTCTCTGTTGGCATTTGGACTGTTTCCCATTTGTGGCTCTCAAGAATAATGATGCTGTAGACATCCTGTTTGTCTTGCGTGCACATACACAGCCATTAGTGTTGGATCTGCACCTAAAAGTGAACCGCTGGGTCATGGGACAGCTGTGTATTTCACCCAGTAGAAACTGCCGGTTTCTCAGAGTGGTTGTACATCTTCACTCCCAGCAGCAGTGAGAGTCCTGGATGCTCCACACCCTCATCAGCACTTGGTATCATTACATCTACTTCTCTCTTGTATTATTCTGAAGTAAATCCCAGAATTTTTATAATTTCATCTGTAAATAAAGAATGATAAGAACTTAAAAAAACATAGCCACAGGGGACGCCTGGGTGGCTCAGTCAGTTAAGTGTCTGCCTTCAGCTCAGGTCATGATCCCAGGGTCCTGGGATCGAGCCTCGTGTTGGGCTCCCTGCTCAGCGGGGAGTCTGTTTCTCCTTCTGCCTCTGCTACTACCCCTGCTTGTGCTTCTTCTCTCCCTTTCTCTCTCTCAAATAAATAAACTCTTAAAAAAAAAAAAAGCCACAGGACTATTATACTTAAGGAAAAAAGCAATATTTTCTTTTTTAAAAAATTTTTAATTTTTCTAATTAGGCTCCATGCCCAAGTTGGGGCTCAAACTCATGACCCCAAGATCAAGAGTTGCACGCTCTCCTGACTGAGCCAGCCAGGTGCCCCGCAATATTTTCTTAATATCAAATAGCCAGTGTTCAAATTTTTAATTGTCTTATAAATGTCATAATTGTGTCCTTACATTTTTTACTTGAATCAAGATGCAAGTTAAAATAGGCCTACACATTGCAGTTGGTTAATAAGTCTTTTGAGTCTCTTTTAATCTATAGGTTCCCCCTTTATCTTTTCTTTTTTTCTTAAAATGTATATATTGAAGAAGCTGAACTGTTTGTCCTGCAGAATTTCCCAAATCTGGAGTTTACTGCCTGCACACCCCTGATGTAATCTAGCATGTTCTCTCCTCTGTCTGTTTCTGTACATTGGTGGTTGGAGGTAGCAGCATGATCAGGTTTGGGGTCAGTTTTTCGTGTTTGTTTTTGGTTGGGGGAAGCCTCCCGAGCGGCCCACCCACCGTTGTATCTTTTGAAAGCTGCATCAGAGCCAGCTGGAGCTCCAGGAGGCGCGGCTCTCCTCCCGACAGCTGCAGGTGAAGGTGGAAGAGCTCACGGAGGAGAGGAGCCTGCACAGTTCCGCCGCCACCAGCACGTCTCTCCTGTCCGAGATAGAGCAGAGCATGGAGGCTGAGGAGCTGGAGCAAGAGAGAGAGCAGGTGCTGACGTCCTGTCCCTCTGGCATGAGAGGTTGCCCAGGGATCGCGGGGGCAGGCCCCGGACTGCGGGAGCCTCTCCGTCCTCCTTGTGGCCCCAGTGCCTACCGTTTCAGCTTCCTCCCGGTGGGGGCCTGCGGCCCTGCACCTGCAGAAGCCTACGCCTGCTGGCCAGAGCCGTCGGGAAGCAGGCCCTGCCCAAAGCCTGTCCCGGGCTCACTGTTGCCCCAGTGCCTCTTAGGAGATGCTTATTGGCTCATCCTCAGCCTCATACCTCTTACACTGACTGGGCTCTAGAACCCTCACAGTCCGACCAAAGGCTTGTTTTCATACTACTCCTAACCACTTACTCCCCTAATCCTGACTCCTGTCAAAGTAACCGACTATATAAAGAATGGCTTATATGACAAATGGGAGGGGAGTAGAGGGCTGGAGTCTGGATAGATGTACTGGGCCCAGAATAAGGACCAGTATTTCCTGGACAGGTGATTTAAAAAAGAAAAACTCTTTCTCTTAAAACTAGTCTCTTGAGTGTCAGTATGTTGGGTTCCTACACTAGAAAAAGATGAGCGGGTGGCAGGCTTCTCTAGAGTCTGTAATCAAGAATGGTTCTTTGTGGAGCAGCTGAGACTGCAGCTCTGGGAGGCCTACTGCCAGGTTCGCTACCTCTGCTCGCACCTCCGAGGGAACGACAGTGCCGACTCGGCCGTCTCCACGGACTCCTCAATGGACGAGTCTTCAGAAACTTCATCCGCCAAGGATGTGCCGGCTGGCAGCTTGCGCACGGCCCTGAGCGAGCTCAAGAGGCTGATACAGAGCATTGTGGATGGCATGGAGCCCACGGTAAGCAGCCAGGCCGAGAAGCTCCTCACCCCAGACAGCCTGGCTGGTGGGAGGCTAAAAGCAAGTGTGGGGGTGAGGTTAACCCAGGAAGGGCAACTTGCAGAGTCGGTGAGAATGCCGTCTGAGCCCTTATTGTCTGAGAGCACCATATACTGGTGACCGGGCAGAGGGACAGTGTCAGGGAATGGAAGTTCCAAAGTCATCTTCCTGAAGACACAGGCGTACAAGTGGAGTCCTTTCTCCATGTAGTTAAGTCCAGGCCATGGTGGCCTCGAGGTCAAGGACTTTCCTTAGAAGGGATTTAGGTGCAAACTGTGTTTTTCTGTAGCTCATTGGTCCTGGTGGTGGAGTTAGCTGCAAATAGGCCAACTTGAAAGACCTGAAGCTTCTGCTAAAATGATACAAGAACAGAAAGTTGAGAAGATCAACAGGGGCTTTTTAGAATTCCAGATGTGGCTCCCCTTATGGAGGAGAATATTCCTGTGGGCCTCCGGGGCAGATGGGCATCTCTTTCAGCTCCGTGACCAATTTCTGCCAGACTTCCTCTCTGTTCGCAACCCCGGCTGGCAGGCAGTTGTTTGTCTTCAGGGCCCATCCTCCTACAGAATAGCTACCATCTTTCTACCCATATTAGATGAAGTCCTGTCAGAGGGTGGTTGTCCTTACCTGAACATGCCGCGTGGATTTGTGGAATGTGCTGTAGTCGTGGGGAATGGGAGCTATCAGAATGAGGTGTGCTGTTCACGCCACGAAAATTCCCTCCCCTGAAGCCTGAAAGAAAAATAAACATCTAGCTGATGTTGGCAGATCCAGATTGGGCGAGAGAATCTCTCTCCTCTGACCCTTTCTTTCCTCCCTCCTGTGTCTCTCCTCTTTCTCTCCCTTTCTTTCCCTCCACCTTCCCGCCCCCATCTCCTCTATCCTGCTCTCCTCCAAACCGACCCATCTCTACTCCCTCCCCGTACCTCCCCTCTCCCTCTCTCCCACTAACCATCTCACCACACCCACCCCTGCTTGCACCATCTCTCGGGTTGAGGGCTTTCTCTCTTGCTCTCAGAGCTCCCGGAGAATTGACGATGACTCCTTAGAAGAACAGATAAGGCAGACCAGTGAGGACTCGAGAGCCCTAAGGGAACTCATGGAGGGAGAGAGGGGTAAACTGAGGCAAAGCCTAGAGGAGCTACAGCAACTCCACAGTCAGGTGAGCACCCCAATCCTCAGTCCCGAGCAGGGAATGTGCATGTGCCCCCCAAGGTTTCTTGGGACCCTCATGAGTTTCCCTCTCCTGTGTCTATTTGAGAAGTGGCTCTCCTCTGACAGATCCTCGAAGGACGGTGACCTGAAGTTGAGGTAAGCTGGGCGTCTTCAAGAGAAGAAGCCAATCCTCTGGTTTATCCCAAAGTAAAATTGATAGGGATAAGAATAGCTGACCCTCCATTTCCTCCAGTAACATGCTGCCTTCCACAGAGCCCAGATTATCCCCTGGCTTCTGACAGTTTAAAGTGCCTTAGCTCTCAGGACGTTCTCGGATGTTTTTCCAGCAGCTTCTAAGCAGGGAAGTTTGCAAACCAAGAAGCAATTGATCTTTGTAGGCCTGTTCTCTCTTTGTAATGCCGTCACCTCTGCCATCCTGATTTTCAGCTTTAGAAGCACTTACTGCTCCTCTTGCTGTTCCATTCCTGTTTGATCATGATTTCATCTCTCTCGAGAATCCTGGAGAAGGGCATCTATATTCCTATCTGAAAAGTTCTAAAGGGCTTAGGAGCAGCTCCCACCCAGAAAGGAGCTTCTAAATTCTGTCTTAGGAAATAGATAAGGCGCTTCCTTTTGACAAGGGCCCTGTGTAGTGTTCTGTCCCACTTGTGGGGGACACCAAACAGGTAGCATTTTAAACCCTGCGCCCACCCAGCCTGCCCCCTTCCTCCCTTGTCCAGAGCTGGTCATCCCTTCCTGCTGCACCAGATCGCTGAGAGATGGAAGTTAAGCCTGGCTTTTGCTTCAGTCAGTATTTCTTAAATTTAAAGGACCTTATAGAAATAAACTCCTTTTGGGGGTCATACCCATGAGACACCCCAACATAATCCTCTTGAAAGATATTGGGGAACCCTCCTGCAGCTATTGCTGTGTGCTCTCCTTTCTGGGAGCGACCAGATAGGGTAGAAAGATGCTCCTGAGAGCGTAGCTTATTTCCGACCAAGCCCTGAAGAATGGGATTGGGCAGCCAAAGACATTGTCATGCCCAAAGCCAAAGTCCCTCAGGCGGTCGTTTGGCCAGGGAGTAGTTCAGACACCAGCACAGGTCTTCAAACTGTAAGAATCAAAACAGGACAAAGTGGATCTAAAAGTTCTTTGGGTTAATAAAAGTTTATTTACTTTAAAGCCTAAATTTTTGTGGGGTGCTTCTTATCAGCTCTTGATACTGGCTGGTTGGTTTTGTTGCTTCTCAGGATAGCAGAACTAGAAACAGCAGAGGGCATCATTGAGAAACAAGAGCAAGGCACAGGTTGCTGAGGGTCTGGACACAGCTCTTTCGGAGCCTGTCTCCACCAGGGGATTCTCCTGAAAAGTTCAGCTGATAAGTGGTTAATGCCAGTTCCTGTGCATTCCCTCTCAGCTCATTAAGCGCTCAGTCCCATGGGGTATAGAACTGGGCCTCTTGAGTGGGTCATCTCTTCCCAAAAGCTCAGACAAAGCAGCAGATCTCTCAGCCAAACTACATCTATCCAGAACCATCCTGTGAGAGTAACCCTGACCTCCCAAGGCAGTGGGTAGGACGCAGATTGAATTGCAGCATGCCAGTGGAGACGGTGGCCCTCAGAGCGGGCCCAGCATTCCTCATGCAGTTTGTGCAGCAGCTCCTGAGCATTCCCCGTACACTTGCACTGTACTACACTAGTCCCTGAGATGCTCAGGATGGATGTGACTGCGCGCTCATGCTCCACAACCTCTCCTAGAACTGTGAGGCGAGTCAGACTAGCTCTGTTCCCTTCGGGGTGGGGAGCGGGGGCGGGGGTTGCAGGGAGGAAGGGCAGAGCCCAGACAAGGTTATGTGAAACCGAAGTTCCAGCAGATAGCTCCTAGACGAGTGCAGCCTCATCCAAGGGATGATCCAGCCTCCAAGCCCACTGCTTTCCTACCCAAGAGTGTTCTGTTTTTCTCCTGGAAACTGAGCCACAGGTAAAAGGTGTGGGACCTGGAAGATGAAGTGACCAGCCCCTCTGAAGCCTATCCAAATTTTTAAATAAAAGAGAGCCCAGGTTTAATTTTAACTGATACTTATATTTGAGACAAGAATCTAAAACCAGACCTGAAGACCGCCCCACACCCTTATGCCATGGAGAGCCCCCTCTCAGTCCCCACAGCTTTGCAGACTCCTGCTCCCTCCTGGTCAGGGCTCACTGGGGTCTGGATCTGCTGCTGGGAGGCAGGAAGGACGTTCTGAACAATAGGAAAACCAGTTATCTGGGGAGCCCTCTACCAATTCCCAGGCCAGTAAACCAGGCTTTGGGAAGTACAGTGAGAAATAGAACCAGGCCTGGGGAGCACGGGGGGCTCAGGCAGTTAAGCAGCCGACTCTTGATTTTGGCTCAGGTCATGATCTCAGGGTCCTGGGATGGAGCCCCACGTGGGGCTCCCTGCTCTTCGGGGAGCCTGCTTCTCCCTCTCCCACTCCCTCTCCCTCCCTCTCTGCTCCTCCCCCTGCTTATGTGTGCTCTTTCTCTCTCTCAAATAAATAGTATTGATTTATTTATAAATAAATCTTTAAAAAGAAAGAAACAAATAGTCCCAGTCCTGTGTTTGGTTCCTTTATAGGGCTTGACTGCAGCACTAGCCATTTACCCCCAAGGGGCATGACAGCACAGCGGAGCAGGTACTGGGAACACGGAAGGCCTTCACTGAGGAAATCTTGGTGACTCCTCCTGGGTGAAATCTCTCTTTGTTCTCTTTTCTCCGGCTTCCTAGCCATTGCCCTATTTCAGACCTTCCTTCTTTCACACTGTGGCTCTGGTCATCACTCCCCCCAGCCCACTTACCCCCACACGATTTGGATTGATCTTCCTGAAGCACGGCTTGGAAACAGAATACCCTTACAAGTTCTGGATTGACTTCCTCTTGTCACATGGTGGGAAGCCTCGAACTCTCATGGCCCTACAGACGGGCTGCATGCCAGCCATCCAGCCTTCTTCCCCATTGTTGGCATCTCCCCTCCTTTGCTTTAGTCAATTGAACATAGACTATGAAAGGGCATGGCGCACGCTCCCTGTACTTCCCCACATCCGGGCCTTTTCTCCGGCCCTTTGCCTCTGCCCAGAAGACTCTCCCCGGCCACCTGCATGTATCAGCCCTACTCATCCTTCAAGTTTCACTTCTTCCTTGAAACTCTTGATTCCCTTCCTCCTGGAGCCCCCAGCCCTGCTTTGTCATGATTACCCTCACTCACATCTCATCTTCCCAGTTAAACTTTATACCTCCACGAGGACAAGCTTGAGGTCCAACTTCTCTTTATCTTCTCTTAAAGCATCTAGCACAGGGCTCACCTAGAGTAGGCACAAAAATATTACCAAATGAAAGGGCAAAGAAAGCCCTAGATATATGACTTCAAGATGTTTTCTTTGATCCTATTCAATCATGAGGACACTTACTTTATGTGGGAAAAGTGGATTTAGGGGTGGCTGCAACCTAAGTCAGTGTATAAACAGGCTGGGCCAGTCCTCATGACAGCCCCAGCCATAGGTCCGCACCGATGCGGAGAAGAGAAAGGAGCAGAGCTTGCCCCCAGGCGCCAGGCACTGAGCTCTGTCCTTGATGTCAGTTACCTTATTTGAGCCTCACAACAACTTGATGGTGGGAACTAGTTATTTTTATTCCTGCTTTTTATGAAAAGTATATGCAGTTCAAAGAAGGTAAGTCCCTTGTCACTTCTAAGGCAGATAGCTGATGGTCTCTACTTTGACCAAGTTTTCCAGACCAAAGCAAAAAGTTCTTACAGAGTTTTTTTCGGGAGCCTATTAAATGTTGGCATTTCCTGCCTGGAATGTGGTTTTATCTGTAGCTTACTCAGCTGGCAAAACCCTTGTCTGGCACACAGCCAGCCCGGGGCCATGTTAGGGCTGATTTGGTCAGAGGAGGTCTGGCACTCTCTCTGCCAGGTACTTTCTGGGTCTTGAGTTTCTGGCCTACCAGGCTACAGAACCTGCTATTAAGTAGGGTGAGGCTGGGTTTCTCAGCGCTGCCTGCGTGCCTCAGGACTAGCTATACCCTGTGGCCTCTGCAAGAGCCCCAGCCTGTTCTTCCCTGTGGCTTGGAGCCCTGTCACCGCAGCTGTCCCCACCATGAAAGCACAGAGCACCTGGTCCTGACGTGTCCTACCAGGCGTCTAAGAGGACGAAATCCATTGCCCCAGTAACAACAGATTGTCCTGTATGCCTCTTCATTGTGGGGCGTCCTCTGATTTCTTCCCGAGTGCCTCTACCCCAGGAGTTGGCAACTGCTGTCTAGTCTGGGGAGTCCAAAGCATCTTCAGGGAAGCTTGATCTTCAGCCTTGCTCCTGGGGTCTTTGCTCAATTTCAGTCAGTCTGAAGTTGTTTAGGCCTGGAATTTGAGTCAGGGAGTACACGGAAAGGTGGCGTCTGTCCCCTTATGGGAAGGCTAGACCTGTATGGATGGATCCTCCCTTGGAAAAATGTCCAAGTATGTGTAATATTTAACAAAAGGGCAGGGCCGGTCATCCTGACTCCAGTCTGAGCCTATTTACTGAGAAGGGGCTCCCACCCTTCCATTCATTCAACAAATATTTACTAAAAATTCTACCAAGCAGGGTTTCTGGTTGCAAACAACCCAAACTCTCTCTGCTTAACTTGAGAGAGACTGTATTGGAATTAAATCTGATCACTAACAGAATCAACAGGAAGGCTGGAGAACCAAGCTCCAAAGCAGAAAGGAGCCATGGGAAGTGGGGCCACAGAAGCACTCTGCTGTCAGTGTAATAATTGCCCCCTGGCCTGTGGCTTTGCTGAACCCTCAAGAACTGCAGTCCCAGGTAGGGGGGTGTGACTGGCACATTTAGGTCACCTTTCTATGCCTCTGTGCTTAGGAAAGGATATATGTCTCTCTCCTTTGGCTTCCTTAGTGGGAGGGCATCCCCTGTTTCCCACCAAGACTCATGCAACCAGGAATGTCCCCCAAATAGGAAAGCATTTGGGAGGATGACTAGCCAAAAAAAGACAACTGTCTACTGCACAAGCATTTGGGGATTAAGCATCATACAGTCAGGCTCTGAAATGCACAGATGAGTAAGGCACACTTCCTGCCATTGCAGAGCTCTAGGTGTACAGAGGGTTCCTATACAAAGGATGGGGTAAGCTGCAGTCACCAAGGGAGCCACTAGGAAGGGCACCCTACCACCAAAGGATGGCCCCCAATAAATGGGCTGTGGGACCATTCACTGAGGCATGGCCCACAGAAAAGGTAACAGGCTTGAAGTGAAAGATGATATTACGTGGGTGTCTGAATTCCATATGGCTTTGACCAGGGAATTGGTCAGGTTGCACCAAGTACTGTCACAGAAGTGGGAGCCAGGGCCCTGCGGATAGCAGCATTCCATGCTGAGTGGAAGATGGCTGGAAACAGAACTTGAATCCCTACCCCTAACCATGTGTTTCAGAGCCCTGATGCATGTGTGGTCTTCATTAGTTGCCCGCAAGTGCCTTGAAATGGAGGTGGTGGTGTGGGGTGCTGCGTCCAAAGGGGATCTGAGCCCTGTGGCTGCCGTCCGGGGCTGAATTTCATCACCATCCGTGGGCTCCAGCCTAGCGTGTGGCATCATTCCTACAGAAGAGATGGGCGTCTCTCAGAGCCAGGGGCCTCAGGAAGCTACAGGCACCCGCCTGGGGCTGCTTGTTCCTTTCTGCCTCTTTAAGGGCACGCCCCCAGGCCAGCAGCAGTGGCAGCCCCTCCCCCCCATTCATCCTTGTGGTCTCCCGTCAGGTGACGTTGCTGAGTGTCGAGATGACTGCCCTGAAGGAGGAGAGAGACCGACTCAGAGTGACGTCCGAGGCCAAGGAGCCAAAGGAGCAGCTTCAGAAGGCCGTCCGGGACCGCGACGAGGCTATTGCAAAGTGAGTGGACAGGGCTTGTCGAAGCTGACTGTTGTCACAGCAACATGAGTATGTGCTCAGTTTTAAAAGTGAAACCCTACAGAAGACGACAAAAATGAAAGTGTTGCCCTGCTACCCACCCTCACCCCCAGTCTGGTTCTTCTCAGACAGACGCTACTTACTGGTGGAGGTCGGGGGTGTGTTTGCTGCAGATCTTTCTCCTGTGCGTGTGCAGCTGTACGTGCAATAGAGTTGTTTGGGGTTTTTAAGTATCAGTGGGATGATGCTCTGTGTGTCTTGTATATCTTAGCTTTCTGTCTCAGCTTTTCAATTTCATTAGGTAGACCTACCTCAACTTCTTTATTTTTAGGGTTTTTTAGGGGAGTTGTTACTTTTTATTATGGACATTTTCAAGCATACACAAAAGTAGAAAAAAATAAGATGAATCCCTGCCTACCTTTCTGGTTTCAACCCTCATCAGCATATGGCCGACTGTTTCATCTATATCCCCACCCACCTCGTGCCCCTCCCCGCTGGATTGTATGGAAGCAAATCACAAGATCCCTTATCTCATTCATAAACACTTCAGTATGGATTCTACCAGATAAAGACTCTTTCTGGAAAACACACAACCACAATACAGTTGTCACACTTGAAAAAACTTACAATAATTTCTTAATATCATATAGTGACCAGCTGGCCCATAAATGTCTTTTAATGATTGATTAGAATCAGCCTCCAAAGTCCACAAACCCCATTTAGTTGATATGTACGTAAGTCCCCTCCATCTTTTTTCCATATTGCATTTATTTATTGAAGAAACTGATCGTTTGTCTCCTAGAGTTTTTCTACATTCTGGGTTTGATGCATCCTCAGAGTGTCATTCAACAGTTTTCTCTCACCTGTGTTCCTAGTAAACTGGGTCGTATTTTAATAATGTTTTGGGTTTTCTTTAACAGAGAAGAAATGCATTCTCTTGCATTCAAAAAATTTGGAAGTGCATAGGCAAAAAAACATACGTACATATTCCCCATCCCCCTTCAAATGATTTCTTTTTCGTGCATTCAATCTACCCTCTTCACTGTGAGGAGATAAAAGGTACTGAATATGTTGTCTGCTCAACAGGCACTTCGCAGCACGCTCATAACATCTGTCACTTTACTGCTTACAAACACTTCATCCTTTAATCCTCCCAGCCACAGCAAGAAGTAAAAATTTTAATCCCAGTTTTTACAGATGAGGAAACTGAGGTACTTTCCCCAGTTCCACAGCCAGTGGTGATCACGCCTCCACCTCAGGTCTCTTGCCCCCGTCGGCGCATCCTTTCCCCTGTGTGGTAACACAGGCTGCTTGTCAGCCAACTAAAAGGAGCTCATTTGAAACAAATTGTAAATAGATACTATATACCTTTTAAAAAGTAATAGGACACATTTTAATTTCTGACTTTAAAATGCCCCACACCTTTTCCCTTCTCACTTCCACACACACTTGTCTGCTCCCTTCTGCTCTAATCATTTCATCATCTCCATTACTTAGTTTTACCTATGGGTCCCCTTTCCTGTCTGGCCAGGACCTTCTGTGAAGCTGACAGTTTCCAGTTCATTTAGGAAGTATATTCAGTGAGGCTTACAAACCTATGCATCTCTGCCACTGGATTCCTGGTGAATATTTGATTCATTAGCGAATACTTGAATGGCACTGTAATATTTTGGAGTGGGAGCATACTTTCATGAATAGCAAAGGGTGAAACTGTGTCATACAGTTAGGGAATAAAAATGGTAAAATTAAGGTGCTAATTGTGGAAGCCTGTTGGGAATAAAAAGCAGAATGAAGTTAGCTGTCTCTCAGCTGGACAAGCATACGAGAGCTGAACATCAAGCTCTGACCGTATTCTGCCATCAGCACAGGAGGTGGGAGATACAACCAGAGAAAGAACCAGCGTGCAGGAGAGAAGAAGCAGCAGAACTTGTCTAGTCCCCTCCTTTAAAATAATTGGAACCTAGCTGTGACATCTGGGGGACCAAGGAGGCCAGCAAGTCTCCATGAAACCTTGAAATGCAGGCCTTTGCCTTCTGCCAAAGGAGGCCCAGTGAACCTCCTGGTGTCAGAGCAAACTCTCCTCTGTGAGTACTCAGAATTCTGCAGTGAAGCCCTTGTCCTTCATGGACCCTACAAAATAAGGCTGGTGCTGAGGGAAGGGGTTAGATCACTCCAGCACAGGTTAGCTCTTTTTCTGTCCCTTAGAAATTAAACTCTTGGTATGTGTTTTGGGGATTAAGCATCATACAGTCAGGCTCTGAAATGCACAGATGAGTAAGGCACACTTCCTGCCATTGCAGAGCTCTAGGTGTACAGAGGGTTCCTATACAGAATCATTTAAATGTGGGGGAAGCACACTTTGTATAGGACCTTAAGGGTTTTACAAGATGCTTTCATACACCTCATCTCTGATTCTCCATCCTGACTGCACTTTAGAATCATCTAGGGAACTCCCTGGATGCAGGGGCCCTCTCCAGACAATTCAGTCTGAATCTCCTAGTTTGGAGCTGCTTCTTAAAAGTGTCCCTACCCCACCCTGTGATTCTAGTGCGTAGTCAGGAGTGAGAACCCCCAGGAAAAATAACTTTCCTCTCCTCACTGGGCTACAAAAACCTTAAGGTGTTCTTTATCCTGCACAGTAGTGAGTTTCAGAAAAGTTAAGTAACAATTTCGTACCTTGCAGGTAAATGGCCCTCACTAAAAGCAAAAATCCGGGGCTAGCAATCTGCCTCCCCAAAACAGAAGGGAGTCCGTTACTAGTGGTTTCATTTAAATAAGGAATTCTTCCAGCCCTTTGAGATACTCCTTTTTAAAATTCTGATTAATATATCGATCAGCGGCCTCTGCGGCTTAGCTCTCCTGGTCTGGGGTTTCTCCTGAATGAAAAGCACCAAGATTCTCTAGTGAGCAAACGTTCTCTGGGGTGCAGTCCGAGGCTGGAATGCGGATTTCGGCAAGTCGGGCCCCGCTTTGGGGGTTTTCGGGAAGGAAGGGGACCCACTGTGAGCCCGGCGACACAGCTGCTGCCGGACCTCCGCCCGGAGGCCTTGGTCAGCACATTCCGGGGTCTCCGGGCTTCTCGTGGCGCCACCTGCCGGGAGACGCCCAGAAGCTCGGGAGGCTGCCAGGGGTTTGCGCCGCTGTTCCGGGACCGCGGGGGGTGGGGGTGGGGGGCCGGCTGGGCGTCCATGGCAACCGCGGCCGCGCAAGGATTTCCGCCGTTCACTGCCAGCCAATGGCAGCGGGCGTGACAGGGAGCCTGAGGCATCTGAGACGCTGGCGCTCATTGGACGGTCTCTGCTCCGGTCCTCTCAACCGCAGTGCGGCGGGCGGACCCGGGTGAGGCGAGCTGTCCGGATGGCTTCTCTGGGAAAGGCGGGCGGGGCGCCGTTCTGCGACCCTGAGGTGTCAGGGGAGGTGACTCACGGGTCGGACTCGAGGCTGGAGAGGAAGTGCCGGTCGCCGCGCTGGCCCCGAGAGCTTTACCCCAACTGCCCCGCCTCCCCGCCGCACTTAGCTTGCTGCGGCCGGCGTCCCTGAGGCCTGTCCAGCCGTCCTTGGGACGCGCACGGTGGTGGCCGGCCCGGTGCGTGAGGCATTTTGCTTTGCCGTTTCGAATGCAAGAGGCAGTTGATGACAGGGGCTAAGTAATGCCCATTTTGGCAGCTGGGCAACCAGTGCCTCCTTGGCAGAAGCTGCCCAGATAGTCTCTCACGTCGTACTCCCATTCCCCCCCCCCTGAGAAAAAAACTTCTTTTGCATTGAACAACTATGATTTAGGAATGTTGGAAAAGGCAAACGGTAACATATGAAACATATTAAAATGTGAAAAGACAAAATGCAGAAGTATGTGGGAGCCCATCACTGATCATTCAGAGCGAGCCACGTCGACATTGTTGTGTATGACCTTTAAACACCGGGCAGTTTTTTCTTCGACAAAGCTAGTATCGTACCAGACTTTGCCTTGTGGTGCTTCTCTCCACTCAGCAATTCTTCGCGTTTCCCCATCGTCCGTGAATAATGAATACTCAGCGTCATGGTTGCTACTGGTGACTGTGTCCCGTCGCATACTTTACCACCAGTGCCCTAATTGCTGGCGACCATGACTAGCTAGGCTGTGATCGTCACCACTGTGTGGCTACTTGTGCACACCTGTGTGCCCTTAGGACCGATCCCTTAAGTGGGGGGAGGTTGCTAGTGAGAAGGAGGGGCTGAGAGAACAAGGTCCTTACCTCCCATGGGGACTGGCCTTTTGGGAAGGTTTAGCAGCTCCTTAGTGCCCTGTGAGGCCTTTGATGTCCTCTGGGCTCCAGTCCTCCTTTACCCTCCTCCCTGAGCCCCTTCTTCATCTGTGAGATGGGGAGGACAGATACCTTCACCCACACCTTGTTACAACAGTTGAGAGAATGGATGTGAACCGATGCTGGGAACTTTCCAGCCCTCTGCAAGGAACACCCTAGTTACTGTCACGGTTCCTATTGTGAGTTTGGTCAGAGCCCGTTTCCTCATCCTGTGGACTCCAGGTGCCCCAGGTAAAGAATCAGATGCCTCTGCTACAAGGCGTCCATGCTCACCCTGGCTTGTCTGTTTTTAGGAAGAATGCTGTGGAGTTGGAACTCGCCAAGTGCAAGATGGACATGATGTCTCTGAACAGCCAGTTGCTGGATGCCATTCAGCAGAAACTGAACCTCTCGCAGCAGCTTGAGGCTTGGCAGGTAAGGAGAGCCCTGAGACCCAGGGTGAGGGAAGACGAGGCTCTGGGAGGAGTGGCTGAACCCAGGCAGAGCATAAGGAGAATTTGTCACTAGAGGGTCCCGTGCACGTGGGTGAGTAGTAACCTGCCTTCACCTGGTGCGATTCAGAGCCTGTGCTTCCCCAGTCCCCAGGGAAGAAGGCCTGAGGATGCTGTCGAGAGCGGTGAACCCCAGGCTGTGCCATTTAGGGCTGCGGTGGCCTCCTTCGACTGGTCATCTCTGCTCTGTTTAAATTAGCTGGAAAGAAACAGCTGTTAACACAAAGGGCCCCGGAAGCCCTACATGGCGGGACAAGAATTCACAGCCCGATGGATGTAGTTCCCCAGCCCCGGGGCCACCAGCAGCTGCTGCCCTTCCCTTTCTCGAAGGCCAGCTTCCTTTTTCCAAAGAGCACTACCTTGGGGGAAAATGAGTCAGTATGTTCTCTCTAGGACCACCATTTTCAGAGTGCAGTCAGCCTGCTCTGTCCCAGCTCCAGCTCAGCTTCCCCTGGCCCAGGGCTGTACTTGCTTTTTGTTAAGGACAATTTCAGGATATGGGTGTAGCCTTTCTTGTCTCTCCCAACGAAATCCGAAGCAGACAGGTGAAGAGCTCCCCCCACTGGCGGGCAGGTTAGCAGTGACCATTCCTCCAAGGACCCAGCCGGCCCGGCCACAGGAGCACTCGCCTCCCCGCCCCCGGGAGATGGTCCCTGGCTCCCGGGCTCTGGCCCCACCACCAACTGACCGGTCCCCGGCTCACCGCCCATTCTTCTCTCTTCTCTCCCGGCTACAGTTTGCTTCCTCAGGGCTTTTTACTATCTGGCTCCTTTGGTTTCTGATCTAGTGGCCTTTCTCAGTTCCCGTATCAACAGCTTTAGTTGTACACCCCTCCTGCCTTTGAGGTGAGATTGAACCCCCATTCCACCCACCGTGTCCCCCCGCTCCCCTCACCGCCCTCCCCCCCCCCCGCCTTCCCGTGGCCCGCCGTGTTGTGTGTGCCCGCATCCAGTGTCATCTCTGCAGTGTGTGTCGTGCCATCCCCCGCAGCGCACCTCCTGCCACCGCCACGGCCCGTTTCGGACCGCCTCCGCCCTGGTTCTTTGATGCTCCCTCCGCATCACTGGGCTCCTGTGCCCACAGAAGTGCAGGCAGGAATTCTAAGCGGTTCACGCCTGTGTGTGTATGAAGTTCTCAAGCGATCTATTTCATGGGCTTTGCTCTGATGAATTTTAAGGTATAAAAGAGGCAGTTTGCAGTGTCCCAGAAAAAGCCCTCGTGCTTTGAAAGGGTTTCTTTCTGAAGGGCCCTGTAACATTCCTAGTGCTGCAGGTAACAGATTTTATGGAGCAGGCCCTAAGCTCACGGCGCTGTGCCCAGGATTTGGCTCTGGGACCTCGGAGGTAGGGAGCGTGTCCCCTATTTCTGTGAGGGGGAGGAGAGGCGCTGGAAGGAAGCAGGGTGTGAGGAAGCAGGACTTGAGCAAGGGAGGGAGCGGGAGGTCCACACTCCATGCTTGCTACCTGGTGTGGGCTAAGGAAAGTCCCTTTGTTTCACACTAAAACCTACAGCGGCAGGAGCGTGGGTGTGAGCGCAGGAGGTGATGGATGGGGGCGGGGGGCGCCAGCCCCACTTCCTGCCCTTGTCAAGTGAGTGGCCGCCCAAGCGCAGCCCTCGCTGTCCAGCGCTCAAGCAGGACACAATCAGCCGACTCACCCCAGGGGTTAAGCCAGGGTTTGGTGTCTTGACCAGGGCACCCCAGAACCCACTGGGTTTAGGGGTGAAGGCATCAGGCGGATGTTTTTTATGTTCCTGCTGATGTTAACTAGACAGGGCTGTTTCTATATCCAAAGCAGTAGCTTTCATACTTTTGTTAGTGGCAGAATGCCTTTGCCAAGCGGAATCTTGTGCAGTGTCGGGATCCTACCACTAGAATGGAGAGAGGGCGGAGCTGCTGTGTCCAGAAGCCCCTCTGTGGGGTGCAGCTGCTGTGCCTTGAGGCAGTCGGGGTGAGGGGCGCATTTTTGGGCAACTTTACCAAACTGGGGAAAGGTGCTACCCCAGTGAGGAAGCCAGGGATATGGGCCTGAGCAGGAGCAAGGCAGGCCCTGAAGACAGCGGCGCCTGTGGCCTGTGCGCAGGTCGGGAGCCGCGCCAGCGGAAGGTGCAGCGTGTGCTTGCCCGTAGGCGAGGGAGCCTGTGTCCTGGCCGTGCGGCGCAGCCTGGTAGAAACTTGAAGGAGGCTGACCCTTTGGACCAGAGAGCTGGCAAGCAGAGGTCGCCCTAGGGCCCGGGGAGGGGTGCCAAGGGAAAGGGAAGCAGGGCAGAGAAGGCCGGCCACCGGCAAGGCCCGGGTGGAGACAGGCTTGCCGGGCTCTGGGCTTGTAGGGACACACCGGGGGCGGGGCCAGTCAAGGAGCTGTTGCCCGCAAGAAGCCCGGAGGCCGGGGGCGGGGCGGGGCGGCGGTGGCTGCTGTGTCTACACTTGCTGCTTCCGTGGTCGGCCTGCCCCGGCTGCAGCCGTTCAGTCATCTCATCCCATCCTCACCCCGCGTCCTGCGGACGTTTCCGTACCCGGGCCCCGATCAGCAGCCTGCTTAGCCCCTCCGCTCTGCCCTCCGCAGGATGACATGCACAGGGTCATTGACCGGCAGCTGATGGACACGCACCTGAAGGAACGGAGCCGGCCTGCTGCCGCCCTGTCCAGGGCCCACGGTGCGGGGCGTGCGGATGAGCCCGGCCCCGCCGAAGGCAAGCGGCTCTTCTCATTCTTCAGGAAAATTTAGGTCAGGAGGAGTCAGGCCAGCAAGGATGGGTGGACTAGAGGTGACTGAAACGGGGTGCGTGCGAGGGCCCAGGACACCATGCTTGTACACGAGGGCTCCCCTGGGCCAGCTCCGCGGCTGCACTGCCCACCCACGCTGGGGCCGAGTCTCCAGAAGGGCCCACGCGGCCTGTGATGGCGGCCCTCGACAGAGGGACAGGCAGGAGCCCTGTCCCCACTACCAGGCCGCAGCCGGCCTGGGCTTCCCCCGGATCCGCTGTTGAGCAGGGCTCAGGCTGCCTCCAGAGCAGCCCCTGGGGCTCTGCGGCGCAGACGCAGGGGGTCACAGCCCACCCCGCCCACCCCTCAGTGGCTCCCGCGTCCCACCCCAGGCTCCGCTGCCCTCCTGTTTGGGAATACAGGGAACAGAAAGAATGGAGGCCCTCGCGGCCCCAAGCAAGCCTCAGCTGCGGGGGGGCGGGGGGGGGGGAGATGGCCTAGTCCTCCGGGACAGCAGGCCCAAGGCTGAGCCTCCGCCTCACCCCCAGTCTCTGGCCCACGGAGGAAGGGGAGGCGGCTCCTCACCCACGTGCATGCACCTCTGCGGCAGGGGGCCCAGCCTGCAGGGCCTGACGGGCCGCAGCTGTTCTCTTGCATTCGGCCACAATGGGCTTTACCCAGGCTAGGCTGTCACCATCCCAAGGTCAGGAGGAAGAAGGGCCCTGCCAATCCCCCCATCTCCCCACCCCCCCAGCCGCCACTGTTCTCCCTCCCTGGCCTCCAGGCCCGCCGGTGTTTTCCTGGACCCTCTGCAGGCATTAGCCAGCCAGTCCTTTCCCCTTCATGGGGCCAGAGCTGGGGAGGGGGTCTGCTCCTCTGCCCACGGCCCCCTGGCTCCCCTCACACATACAAGTTCTTGGCTCGGCCAAGTGAGTCCAGGCCACAGAATGGCCCCAGAGGGGTCTGCGGTCAACCACCTCCACCTCAAGGGCAGCACTGGCACCACAGGGCAGATGCCACCAGGTAACTGCCGCCCAGGCCTGCAGAAGGATGAATCCTGCAACCTGCTGCTTCTGCTCCCTCCTCGGCGGCCCTCCCCTCTCCCCCTCTGCTGAGGCCCTCACTCAGAGGCACCCCAGGCTGAGCCTGCCCGCAAGCTGCTTTACAAAGGATCATCTCCCTCCCTCACATGGGAAAAGCACAGCAGGGATGAGCGGAAAGAATGTACCTATAGATATGTACATACCACAGTGCTGTAATTTTGTATGTAGCAATCATGTAAATATATGTATGGATTTTATAATATACATATTATATATAAATCTATAAAGGCATATTTTTAGAAAAACAGCGCACCACTGCTTCTTTTGAAAATAGTCTGAGAATAAAATGAATTTCTAAAGAGCTTCCTGCCTCAATCATTGGGGACCCGGAGAGCTTGTCTGCTCAGAATGCAGCTCCCACTTCAGAGCCACCAACCGCCGCTCTGAAGGGGCAGCGGTAGGGAGTCCTTCACGCCTCTGGGAGGTCACCTCCTCTCTTGGTCCCGGGTGAGTGGATTCAGCCGGGGGGGGGGGGCACCTCCCCCGGAGGGCACAGCATCCTGTGCAGGACGGCGCTCTGGGGCCTGCCTCCACACCCGCCCTGCTTCCCGAGCCTCGAGCAGGCCATACGGCTTGGCAGGAACTTGGAGCCAGAGAGCAATCACTGCATCCTTCCGGCCGCGCGGAGAATAAACACGGCGCTTCCCCTGCCATCTTACCACGTGCGCTCCCAACCTCTGTGCTGAACTGGGGGGGGGGGGGGGGAGCGCAACCTGGACCAACCTTTTGTGAAGAAAACAAATTTCACTCCTGAAAGTGTCCCTCGGCCTCAACAGGCACCTGTGCTGGACTCAGACCAGGACAAACAAGAGCTGGATACTGTGGGTGGGAAGAAGGCAGGCCCACCCTGAGCACAGCTGGAGGAGAGGAAACAGACCCTGGAAGAAAATTTGGCAGCTTGAACCTTTATTTTTAGTATTTTTTTAAAAAGCATAATTAGAAACTTTCAATACAGAAATAATCCTAGCAAACCATTTAAAAGTTTTGTTGTTCGACAGGAATTTCACATCAGGTCCACCAGGACGTCAGTCCAGCCCTGTGAGCCCCCCACCCCCACCCCCACCCCCTATTCATGCGTGTAACACTCAGTGGGACAGGCACACTGTCGTCACCAAAATCACCCCACCACCTGGGTCTGGACGTCCAGTGGCCAGAGCCATAGTGTCTTCTAGCCCAGGCTGGAAACTTCCAGGACCCCTTCCCCTTATTGCTTGAATTTGCAAGCACTGCCACACTGACGACACGTGAGTGCTCAGAGTTGAGAACGCTGCCCGCCCAGGGGTCTCGAGCTCTCTGCGTCCTGCACAGGACCTCTGGTCACCCAGCACAGCCCTGAGGACGGAGACCACACTTTCGCTCCTGGCCCCACAGCCACCCTCCGCAGCCCCGCTTCCCTAGGCCCCGAGCTCCCCCACCTCGTCAGGTAGTTCCAGTGAAGGCCTGCTCCCAGAGAACCACAGGCTTTTGGCAGTCTGGGGAAGTGGAGAGACAGGTCAGTATTGGCTGAAAACCCATCAACAGTGATAACATGGAAAATCTGCAGTGTGATCTGTGATGTGATTGTCCAATCAGGGCTTTGCCTGGAATTCGCCTAGGAAAGGAAATCTAATAAAACACATCATGGTGTTGAAATAAATTACTCCCAGGTTACGTGATCCTTTTAGGGGAAAGGTGAATGATGAAGTGTCCCAAGGGGGACAGTAATCAAGTGCAGATGACCCTGGCTTTTTCCTCCAGGGGACCACGGTCAAAGCTGGCCGGCTCCCAGCCCCGGGCTGCCACCCTTCCCAGCCGCTAACAAGTCCTCCCACTGCCTCTGCACTGAACCAGTCCCGCCAGTGATCAGGGTAGGCTGCCGTCCACCTCTGAGGTGGCGTCCCCACCGCCCAGCAGTGCCTGGCACCCACCCCTCACATCCAGGGCTGCCTGGTGCTGCGACAGAGACCCGGGAGCTCCCTGGAGAGCCCTGGGCCGACAGAGACGAGGGCAGGAGGCCCGTTCTCCTCTCCCACCAAGAAACGGCCAGGAAGGCGAGGCTGCTCTGCCAAGAGCCCAGCCCCACAATGACAGGAAGCCATTCAATTTTTCTAAAAACACTGGACCCAAAGTGGAGAGGCCACAACGTTTGCTGCTGTGCCAACCAAACCTCAGGAAGAGAAAGTGTGAGGAATTTAATTCATTTGATTTGGCTTCATTTTCTTTATGTGTTAAAATAACGCTCCTCGGTGCCCCTGCAAGCCCCCTTCCCTGCACAAACACACCCCTACCTTTCTGTTGGAACTGAAACAGGTTGGTATAAATTAAAAGCCACGGTTTCCCTGGGGTTGTAGTTCAGAGGCATCTAGAAGGCAGGACAAGAAATCTGGTGACCAAAAGGCTAGGCCTCTAATGGGAACCCCCAGGCCTACCTCCAGGCCAGGTTTCCCCCAGCTGCCAGAATGGTTACAGGGGTGGGGCGGGGTAGGGGAGGGAAGGGAGCTGGGCCGGGAAGAGACACAACACAGGCCCCCCGAGAGAGGGGGCAACCCGATGTGCCAGGGACAGAAGGTGAAAGCCTGTAGGAGAGAACATGTAACGAAGAAGGCCCGCTCCACCAGCCCAGGTTGGCTAAAGGTGTGGCTAGAACTCGAGCCTGTCTCCTCAGGAAGCCGCGGGGCCGGAAGATGGGATGGGGAGGGGTGCGGACGGGAGGGTCTACTGCAGCGGGCTGGCGTGAAGGAGGCAAAAGCCAGAGCAGGACGAAGGTGACGCGGCTGGTTAAAGCAATACACGTATGTACACACTCTGGCTCCTCACTCCGCTCGGCTGGCCGCAGCGTCGCCAGGCCCAGGTGCCCGGGCCAGGGGCACCAGAAGGGAAGAGCAGGTTGTCCGACACCTTCTTGGCACTCAAGGGGGGAGGGGAGGAAGTGCCGACGGCGCCTCCCAATACAAAAACGGGGAGAGAATTCTTTAAATAACGGCACGAAGATGCGACTGTCCCCGAGGAGCCCCGCGAGCAGCGGGCGGGGAGCAGGCACAGCGCAGTCTCTGCGGGGGGCCGGGGGGCCGGGGGCAGGGGGGGTGCCTAGCAGCAGCGCTTCTTCCGTTTACTGTTCTTCGTGAGCTTCACCACGTCGTTCTGTTGCTGCTGCTGCTGCTTGGCTAAGTTGTCCTTCTTTGCTCGGAGGACCAGCTCTGTGATGCAGTTGAACATCTGTGAGGACGAAGGAGGTGGGGTGGGCCTCAGACCCGGCGCCCAGGCCCCGCTCCCCATCTGCTCTTTCTACCCTCAGGGCTTTCTGTACACATGTCCCCAGACCCGTTCCAAAAGGAGCTGGTCAGTTCTAAAGGCCAGAAAGGAACAACATCAAAGCCCCATGAGCTGTGTCTTGGGGAAATCAATCTCAGGGATTTTCCAGCCTTTCTTTTAAAAAGAGAGAAAGAACCTCTCCAGCTGGAATCCGGACAAGACGAAGGCGCCCCAGCTCCGGTGTCGGGCCAGAGGGATCCAGAGCCTGCCCACTCCAGGCCCCCAAGATGTCCCTGCGGTGCCAGGATCCAGTGGAACTCCACCTGCCAACCCACAGTCCTCTCCTCCACTCTGCCAGGAAAGGTATCAAGCACCTGACATAATTTGCTCCACTTACTCCTCACAACCCAGGAGGCAGGGACCCTCACCCCACCCCGATCTACAGAAGGAACAGGTGCAACCTACGGAGGTAAGTCACCGCCCAAGGTCACACGTAAGGCCCGTCTTGTGATCCCAGCCTGACTCGGAGGCACCTGGGCTCCCTGCCACTGTGCATCGGGTGGCCAGGATGCAGTGGGGAATCCTGGCTTCCCTGGGTCTCCAGATTCCGCACACTGTGGGGCAGGACTCACCTAAAGCTACAAGCATGGCCTGCCTGGGCTTGTGGCAAAAGGTCCCACTTTTCTCCCACAGGCTCACAACTACCTCCCAGCAGGCCTAGCGGAAGGGAAGCTGCCCCCGGGCCAGAAGCTCAGCTGCTCTGCAGGGGACGTGTCTCCCCCACAGCCTCTGGGGGACTCGCAGCAGGTGCCCACCCGAACTCTGGAGGCCACAAGGAGGCAACCAGGTGTCTGCAGGGAGGCCAAGGCCCCAAGGAAAGCCTTGAGAGCAGGAAGGGGTAACAGGTGGGGCCAGGGAGGGCAGTGAGGCTGAAGACTGAGCGTGGCTGGGCTCTAGGTGACTTGGCCTCTTACAAGTTGGGTGATAGTCCTCAACTTGGAACCTCAGGTCAGAGGACTGTTGAGATATGAGCTAACACCTACAAAAGGCCTAGCACGATGCCTGGCACCCAGCAGGCCCTGAGGAACGGCAGTTACTAGGTGCTTTTCTGTCCGCCACCCGGGTACTCCGGGCAGGCTAGACGTGCAGAGAAGAGGACTGTGGCGGTGGGACAGAGTTGGGCCCCACTCCCTCCCCTGCCCCCACTCAGGCCCAGGCCTCACCTCTTCCACATTGACATTCTCCTTGGCGCTGGTCTCAAACAACTGGATCCCCATCTGCCCTGCGAATTTGTAGGCATCTTCTGTTTCCACCACCTTCCGCTCAGGGTCGTCATTCTTATTCCCCACTTCAAGGCAAAGCAAAGTCAGCCCAGCCCTGCAGGAGCACCCCCCAGTCACCCCCCAGGCCACTGTCCCCACCCCGGTGGGTCCAGCCTCACCTAATATTCGGCACACATCATCACAGTTTTGGTTGATTTCATGAAGCCACCGCTTAACGTTGACAAAGGACTCTGCACTGGTGACGTCATAAACCACGATGACCCCGTGGGTCCCCCGATAATACCTATAGGGTCAGGATCTGTGTCAGAGCTTCAGCCTAGACAAGAGTGGCCCCTTCACTAAGACCGAGCCTGCCCGTGTCCGGACAGCGGCCAGGGAGATGGTGATGGGGCACATGCTCTCCTGCAAGACACCCAGCATCTCCTCTCGGTCTGACGCCGGCTGGACATCCTGGAACCATGCACCAGCCAGGATGCTCAGCAGCACCGTTGCTCACGCTTGTCCCCAAGGCACCAGTGAAGAGGGAGCAGCCCTGAGGTGGCCGGTCAAGTTGTTCGAGTCTGCTACTAGCCTGAACCTTCTTTGAAGTTCTTGTTTTAGGTTTAAAATGCCAAGTAATTTTTGTATTTGATGTCCTATTATCACTGTCCTTGTTTTAACATTGAAAGAATTTCTCTCTCCAAATCTCTTAGTAAAATGCCATTCCAAGGAGACACACCATTTGTGAAGCCCCGCCAACGTCTCATTCACCCCACTGGGGGCAGGTGGACATCTCCCTTCCACCTCTCTGGGCTCATCTGTGCTGGTGGCAGAGAGCGCATGGAAACGGTATGGGCACCCAGGGCACAGTGGGAAGAAGGTGTCCCAGAGGTGCCACCATCCAAACGAACAGACCCTATGGCCTGAGGTCAGCCAGAAGGTCTGGAAGGTAGGAGGATGGAGGACATGGACCGCACCCCCCTGCCGCCGCCCCCGCTTATCACAGCCTGAACCCTCGGCCCCCACGCCTGGCACCAGAGCCTTAGGGGGATGGGGATGTTCTCACGACCAGCTCAGCAGCGCTCTGGCCAACTCTTCACTTGCTAGGCCCAGTTGCAGGACAAAGGCTACGCTGGCACCATCTCTGAAAGGATGTGAGACCCCGGGATGGTTACAGCAGGCACCCCGGCGCACCTCTTTCCTCAACTGTATCATGGTACCTGCTCTTGGGACGGTTGCGAGGAATAAAGGAGAGAACTCACGTTTCCACAAGGGCCAGTCGGTAGTCAACATTCAAGGAATGGTGGCTCCTCACCATTATTAATATTCCTTCAGTGACAAGCTGGGGCCCCTGACCCAGGTGGAAGAAAACCGAGGGACAGCGTGCAAGGCAGCAGGTGACCCACTCTCCCGAGCTGGGCACCAGGGCTGCGGGCAGAAGCAGTCTGTGCTGTGCCCCCGGGTCTAGCCCAGCTTGTCTCCCCTACCCCGTCTCTGCCCCCCCCCCTCAGAAACCTGCTGGGGCCTCCCGGGGGCTTCATTCTGCCACAGCTCTGCCTTCCAGGGACGCAGTGTCCCTGCCCTGGGGAGGCCGAACCGCGAAGCCGGGCAGGCGCCGGGCCCTCGGGACCAGTCTCGGCAGTGCCCCAGCAGCTGTTGCTGGGAGCGCCAGGTCCTCGCCCAACCGGGCAGGAGTGTGCGCCAGGGCCAGGGCGACAGACGACTGTCCCCAGCCAGCAAAGGCAGTGCGAGCGAGGAACACATTTCCAAGCTCTCCTGAGTTCAAGACTACTGAAATGCCAAGAAGTGCCGAAAGGGCGAGAACTAGTCTGGGGATGAGATCGGGGCTCAGAGCTCTGAGGAGGGGCGCACCGGTGCTTCTGGACCTCCTGTCACCACCGCCACCAGTAATCACACCCACGCACCCCTGCCCAGCTCTGTGCCCGGCATGGCGCCCAACACTTTATATCCACCGCCCTATTAATCTTTGCAGCGACCTGGCATGACAGACACGGGCGCCCCTTTTGACCAGTGAGGCCATGAGGCCCCGTGGAATGACCTGCTGAAGTCAGAGCATCTGGGCCGGACTGCCGGGCCAGGGCCAGGTATCAAAGGGGCTTCCCTTCCTCACCACCCAACAGCTCGTTACTCACCCCTCCCGACCTGCACCCCAGCTGCGCCTCTCAGGGCCAGCAAACCCCGCCCTCAGAGACAGAGGAAACAGGGTGACAACAGGGCTCCCCGTCAGGCTAACAGGATGCAGTTTTAGTTTCTCTCTTAATGCCCTGAATCAGAAAAGGCCACACTACTACAGCCCGACCGCCACAATCCCCGAGAACAACTCCTGAACTCTCCCGAGGCCCCCTCCTCACCGCCCGCCCCAGCAGGACGTGGTCTTTCCGCGCCCCCCACCCCCGCATGGTGTGTGCGCCTCCTGCCTCGTGAGGCGCGCAGCAGGGGACCGCAACACGGAGCTGCCTCAGCTTCCCCAACACAGGCAAGGGGGCCAGCAGAGGCCAAGCCCGGGCTCCCTGGCCACCACGGTGCAGCACTGCCCCCCTTCTCGAGCACCCCGGAACCACCACATGTTGCCCTCTGGTAGCTGAGCTACTCCAGTGTCCCCAACAGAATGAAGGAGGCGATTCACCTCTTCCACCCTGACCTGAAAGGAGCTGACCTCGAGGTGGCCACGGACTCCTCTGCACCCCAGCCCACTGCCCTGCCCAAAGCCCTTCTCACGGCCACAGGCCCAGTATTCTTGGCCACCCTCAATTCCCTAAGCGGTTTTAACCCACAGGAGACACTGGAGCATCTCCTCAGCCCCGGGCCCTCAGGTGGGGGCCAGCAGAGAGCAGGGCCGTGGACCGAGCCAAAAGGCAAGAGCTTTGGCATCAAACGGGCCTCAATTCAACTCCTAACTAACAAACCAAACTAAGTCACTTTACCCTCTCTGGGCCTCAATTTTCTCATCCATAAAATGGAAATAATCACAGGACTTTTTTTTATTTGGAATTAAATGAAATAAATACAGTAAAATCCTTAGCGACGGTCCCAGCTCAGAGTAAGGACATCTGGGGTCAGTGTCCAGACCTCCTGACCTGGACAAGCGGTCTTGTTCAGGTCTGGACCCTTGGGCTGCCCATGCCATCCATCCTACCCCAAGGAGCCTCTGACCCATTCGCCCTCCTTAAGGCCTTGCTGCTAATTGCTACGACACAAGGGGATTCAGGCAGCTCATCAGCAAGCAGTCAGCACTGCACCGGGCGGCGCTCAGGCCCGGGGACCCGTGGGGTCTGTGGCATCACAGGCCATGGCGCATGTGTGCTCACCAAGGCTGGCCCGGTGACAGAAGCCCCTCCTGCTCAGGGGCTGCTCGGGCTCCAGCCCCTCAAACTAGGGCAGCCCACCCACTGGCCTAGCCCCTCTGCCTGCCTGGCCAGCACCCCCGAGATTCCCCCCCACGACACTCCCAACCACCACTGTGGGGGCTTTTTGCCCCTCAGCGTCCCATCGCTCCCAAGACCCTGAGGAGCCTCCAGATGGGTAGGCAGCCTGGGGTCTGTCCCATTTCCATGCCGAAGGGAAGAAAGGGATCTCTGGCCAGTAAAACTCACACACTTTCCCAAGAGCCCCCAGTCACAGAGGAACTTCGGGGGGGAGGCAAAGGAGAGGCCTACCAAAGCAGCAACTACTGCAGGCCAGACCCCAGCTCCTCCTCTGCACACGTCACGGGGTGGAGCTCGGGCTCTGCCACTCATTGGGAGCAGGACTGCTCTCAGAAGTCCCCTCATCTGGAACATGGGGAAAGCAACAGTACCGACGGCAGCAAGCGCAACCAGGTCGCCCGTGGGGAGCCCAAGCACAGAGCACCTGGCGCAGGGGACTCAGCATTAAAGCCAATCCTAAGGAGAAACCCTCTGGGAAACTGAAGCACAGAGAGTTTAGGCAACTTGCCCAAGGTCACACAGTAAAACAGAAATATAAATTCCGAACTGTCTTCAAAGCTCTGCTCCTTCCTGGAAGCTTTTCTATTAACAGCCCAAGAACCAAGAGCCCCTCCACAGTTCCAGGGGACTCCTGCTGTCTGGGGCTCCAGCTGGGTCCCCCTCTGTACAGCTAAGGACCACAAAGGTGCTGCAGCTGCAAAGGAGGGCAGCCCACTGGGTGAACCAGGCTCCTGGTAAACGGCCTTGGAGAGGCAGAGGAGAGGCCTCCTGAGGGCCTCCTACGTACCAGTGCTCCTTCCAGGCCTCTCAAAAGAGGGAAGCCTCCTCCCAAGTCGGGGTGGGTGACAGGAGCCTGCACAGCCGGCCGAATAAGTCACTCACTCACCAAGTGACCACCTAGGGAGCCACAACCCCGTTCTCCCATTTTACATACTAAGGAACTGAAGGCCAGAGGGCAAGCTGGCTGACGCGTACTGTCCTGGCAGCCCCCAGGGCCAGGGCCCCCAGCCACCGGCTGCCCGTTGACAGTACCCACCTCGTCACCTCCTCCCCTCGCGCGACACCAGCCACTGTGGCCAGCAAGAAGCCCACCCCATGACATTTCTGTGACTCGGGACACCCGATGCTGATCCAAATGCAGGTGGCGAGGGGGAGGCCAGCCTGACTCACGTGGAGGTGATGGTGCGGAAGCGCTCCTGCCCGGCCGTGTCCCAGATCTGCAGCTTCACTTTCTCCCCGTTGATCTCCACGGTCCGAATCTTGAAATCCACTCCGATTGTGGTGATGTAGCTGCCTGCACACACACGCACGTTAGCCAGGCCCGTGGGGCGCCCCCGTCGGGACGCATCCTCACCCGCACAGGGGACCCCGGCCTCCAAGATCCCTCCCCGCTGGCTCTTTGTGCCTAGCCAGTTGGATGTCCCAGGGACACAGCCCTGAACAAAAAAGATAAGGTCCTCACCCCAATGGAGCCCTCATTGGTGGAGGGCAAGAGACAGGACATAATGAAACAGTGATAAAGACCACAATTTCAGGAATGAGGAGCACCACAAAGGAAATTAAACCAGGATGAGACCGGGGAGGGGCCAGGCTCCTTGCATTAGAAGGGCCGGCACGCATGTGTCAGTAGCGGCCTGAGTGTGCTGGGGGACCCAGGACACACTCTGGGTTTTTTCTCCTGTGCTATTCCCAACACTGTAAATGACCCACAACATTAACTTCCTAACACACAAGTCACGACCTGCATTTTGGAAAACACTGCTCCAGGCAGAGGAGAGAGTAGCAAAAATAGCAATGGGGGAGGGTGGGGGGTCACGTGAGGTCGGGCACGCAGTGGGAGGCAGGTAGGGGGACCGGAGGCCGGGTCTCAGGGCCTTTGTGCCATTTCCACGAGCTTGGACTTTCTCTGGTGTGTGGCAGGGCGGCACTGAAGGGTCTGAATCAGAGCCTGAGCCGCATTGTAAGCAGTTCATTCAGGCATCTGTGTGAAAGATGGAGTTGAAGAGAAAATCTAGCCAATGCCCTAGTCCCACCTAGGCTGACAAACGGCACACATTCACACTCTGTTTGGGGCTGACTGTGTAACACGGTGCTGCAGACAAGTCCCACCACACACACCCAACTACACGGTGCGCTTATAGGAGGGGTCAAACTTCAGGGTGGGGCAGAGATCAAGGAAGGCTTTGGGGAGGAAGTCACACTTGGGCCTTGCTCAAAGAACAGGCACCATTTCCAAGGCCGAGAGAAGGTGGGAGTCAGAGCAACCAATGTCTCTCAGGTGGAGCCCCGGGATGCTGCTCAACATCCTTACACGCAGAGCAGGCCCTCCCCTCCCCGGGAAGCACAGGGCCCCAGTGTCGATGGTGCCAAGCTGGAGAAACCCCGGTATAAACTCTGCTCACATGAGAAGGCTGCTGAGGTTTGCCACCCCAGGAAAGACCCGGCCAGAGACCCCGTATGGGCAAGATGAACTTGGCCGTCAGGTATGGGATGGGCAGAAGCTGCTGTGACGCTTCGGGCCAGAACCAACGGGGGTCTCGACTAAGATGCGGGGGGTAGAAACGGAAAGGAGACACCGCCCAGGAGACCAGAGCTGAAAGCTCCTGGGCAGACAGCAAGAGGAACACAAGGAAGAGCGGTGCTCCTGGGCCTGGGAAGCAGCTGCCAACAGGCACCATCCCTGAATGGAACAGAACAGCAACACCACCCGGCTGCTACTTCTGGGGGGATTCCTTAGTCCAGGCACTAGGACTCGGGGCATCTCGGGTAATCCTCGCAATCACTCTATGCGGGACGGACGCCCAGTGGTCCCATTTCACAGATGGGCTGAGACTTAGTGGCGCCCAAGGGCACACACAGGGCAGACCACTCTTCCCGACATCACACCACCAGGGGTGCTGCAGGGCTACCGTCGGGCAAAACCCAATTGTCTACCAAGAGGCAAGTGTTCGCCACGTAATCACTTCCTAATCGTAGCTCGCTGCTCAACCACAGCACACGAATTCCAACGACAGAGTCACGTTCAGTCCTTGATCAGAGAGGCCAAGCCAACCAGAAGCCTCTGCAATGAACATGACATTCAACAAACAAAAACGTGTCCAACTTCACCAGCTATCAGGAAAATACACATTTAAGTTGATGGCACTTTCTGCCTATTAGCTTAGCAAAAATGAAGACTAAGATGCAGCGCTAATCAGAGTTGACAAGGGGCACTTTTGACCCCTTCAGTGGGAGTGTCACTTAGCACAGCTTCTTTGAAAGGCAAGATGGCAGTTTCAAAAGCCTATACCCCGACCTAGTAACTCCACTTCTATACAAGGATAAACATACAATGCACCCAAAGTAATGCATCACTTAAAATAGAAGCAGCCAGAAAGCACGCACATTATCAAGAGCACTGCCAATGAATGATGTAGATCCATGCACAGCTCAGGAAAATCCACAGCCATTCAGAAGAACCAGGGGTCTGCTAGAGATGGGCAAGGATGGTCCTTGATATGCTGAGGGGAAGGCCAGTTGCCAAACCATCACAGGTAGAGTTGAAAAAAGTCAGGAAGACACACACCATGCTGAACAGAAGCTCCCAGGGCACCAGAGTAGGGGCAGGTGAAGGGACAGCTTTTATTCTTCACCCGTTGAGTCTGCCTGTTTGACATTTTATACAGGCATGTACTAACTTGTAATACTTAACTTTTTTTTCCCTCCCTTAAATGTTGGGACACAAAAAGTCTCTGGGTAGAAAAGGGATGGGCCTACAAAAGGACTTTTTGAACAAGACAGACATTAGGCAAAGGCCTGGCCAGGTAAAGGGATCGCAAACCCAGAATACTCCAGCAGCATCCCAGGGGGCACACTCACCTGAGAAAGTGTTGTCGGCAAAACGTAACAGTAAACTGCTCTTGCCCACACCTGCAGGAGAGAAAGCAGGAGATGAGAGGGGGCATGGGTCCCTCCCTCTAACCCAGTCCTTCAGGGAGATGGCACCCAAATGCTAACTCTTAAGAAGCTCAGCAGACCCATCTCCCACCTCAATGCTGCTTTTTCTCTCTCTGACCGGCCGGCCACACACCAAGAACATCTCTCCCACTCAATGTCTGACCTTTTCCTCTGTCCTGGTGTGAGATAAGCTGCCCCAAGTCCCGCGGGGAGAGAGAAAGGGGCTTGTGCCTAGGCCCTGTGCTGATGAGACCCAGAGGAAGATACCAGACGACAAAAATAAAGCAGGGGGAAGGTCAGCCAAATGATATGGGCCCCAAAGTGTGTCTAAAACACACGGTCCCTAGAAAAGTATACACCGTGTGTGGAGCTTCAGTTTGTGCACAGCATGAGATGAGGAATTGTGAACCCGGAAGGGACCCTTGAGATCATCAAGGCCATTTTACAGATGAGAAAACTGAGGCCCAGACAACACAAACCAACTGCCAACCATCCTCCCCCTGATGATGTCACTGCCAGCTGGATCAGTGAGGAGGGGGTGTCTGCCTTACACCTGTCAGCCCAAGAGCTCACACATGCTCAGACCATTTCACTTAGCACGGCAGCCCCTTAACGTACTTGTCCCAAGAACAAGCAGAACCCCATAAGCCTGGCTTCCCTTTACCTCAAAAGGAGCAGTTCTAGCCTGTGCACCTGCCCTGTCTCCCCCACCCCATCCCCTACCCCTGCCAAGCCTAAGGCCCACTGGGTGAACCAAACCCAGAAGGAAGAATCGGCACACACAGAGCTGTGTGTGTGATGGGCACTTGGACGCCCCTGTCATTCCAACTATGTCTCTGAAGAGGAGGCACCTGAGGCTGCGGGAAGCCAAGCAGCGGGCCTTCGGGGCCTCCGCAGGGAAGCGCGGGGCTGAGATGGGAATCGGGGGCTGTCTGCTCCAGGGCTCTAGCGCTCTCTCCAATATATACCGTGAAGGCAGTCTTCCTGCGTCTGGCTCAGAAAGTGGAACAAAAAGACCCCAAAGGGGCTCCTGCATCTGACTCCTGTTAGATTTGCAGCAGCAGTGTTGCCACTGCAGACGGGAGATTTCCACCAGGGTCTCAAGTGTCCCCAAGCTAAGTGCAAATTGGTGGGGAGGAGCCCACAAGCAGCCATCAGAGCCTGAGAGGGCGCTGCCTCCGCCCCCCTCCTGTGCAGTTTCTCGAAACCTAACCAACCCCAGACAACCTCTCTGGCCAGTCCTCTCTGATGCTCTCTTCTGGAGACTTCTCCGATGAATGAGTGGTCTGGAGATACCCAGAACTTGTTTCATGGAGTGAACCTGGGGCTTCCCTTCCCAAGGACAGGGGCGTGGCTCTGAGCAGACGGGTGCTGCACCCACGGTACCTGCTGCTCAGCCCCCCGCGCCCGCAGTGCTCTTGCTCAGAGCCACTTCCTCATCGCCGCTTCTGCGAGGCTTCCTGCTGAGCCCAAGGAGAGTCCAAGCCCTGGGCTGGGTCCCCACAGCACTCTGCCTGGCGCCGACACTCCATCAGGCCTGCCGGCTCCTTGGCTTCCTCCTGGAGCCTTCTGGGCTCGCTTACTCAGCTAAAAACTGTGTCTGGGCCACTAGCTGTGAGTTCCTCTAGGAAGGAGATCTTGCCTCCCTTGCCCTGGATATTTACAGCGCTGGAAGCTGGGCCCAGCACTTAGTCGACACCAACAAAGCATGGCTTAATGAATTTAGGGCCAAACAAATGCCAATAGCACTGACAGCTATACCATCAGATGCTCTGACTGCAGCATTCACAGAAGCGAAAGCAATGGTTTTCAAACTTTCAGGGGGCAGCAGAATCCTTCTTTAAAATTAAATTTTATCTGGATCCCATATATCTAAAACAGGTGGGGGGCGCTGGGTGGCTCAGTCAGTTAAGCATCTGACTCTTGCTTCCAGCTCACGTGAGATCGTGACCCCTCGCTGGGCTCTGCGCTGGGCATGCAGCCTGCTTAGGGTTCTCTCTCCCTCTCTGCCTCTGCCCCTCCCTCCCCACCGATTGCTCTCTCTCTCTAAAAAAAAAATTAAAATAAAAAATACAAGAGGTAAGGGGGAGTTGCTCTCTGCAAGAAGCAAGGAAGCAGCAGTGTGCCCTCCAACCTGGCCTCTCCCAGTCCCCTGCACTCACCCCAGTGCTCTGCAGAGCTGCTGAAAACCACCAGGCTGCAGAACGACCACTACGGTCACCACGTAACTGCTGCTCTGGGCCTGACACCAAGCTCCGGCACTGCTCTTCCCTTTGAAAGGAAGAGAAACCCGCCCTGAGAAATGACCTCTCCTAAATATCCCTGGAAGAGGCCTCCTCGGGAAAACGCGCTGCTTCCATTCATTCCACAGCACTGGCCGAAGGGAGGAAGTGATAAGTACCAATCTACCTTCGCCACAGCGGAAGTCAAGAGCTTCCCAAGGGCCGCACCCGGCACGAAACCCAACCGGTCCTGCCCCAACCTCCTACCCTGCGAAGACCACAGGCAGCCAGGAGACCGATTTATTCGGCAAACACCGCACGTGCCCCTCAGCCCTCACCGCTCTCCCCTGCTCCCTGCCTCTCGGCCTACACAGATGCTCTGGTCCTCAGAAAGCCCCCACAGAAGTCCCCACCCTCAGCCCTGCTCCTCCCTTGGGCTATAGTTAGTTCCCTCACTCGTCTGGGCATCAGTTCTGGACTGTTGAAGACCCTTAGACCTTCGAGTAAAGCGTTCGCGATTTTAATCCTGGCTCAGTCACCCACTCACTGTACAACCTCAGGCAAGTCACTTCCTCTCTCTGAGCCTCAGCTCACTCATCTGTAAAGTAAAAGGCTTTAACTAGTTCTCTGATGGCCACTCCAGCCTCCAGGTTCTAAGAATGAGGATGGCTGGCCCCACAGTTCAGATGAAATGCTGTGACACTTCTGAGCCGATCAGAAGAACCTAAGAGAAAGTGTAGAACTTGAGCCATAAAGAAGAGCTGCAAAGCTGAGGGAATGTATCCCAGAAGCGTGTACGATGTGGCAGAGTGGGAAGAACTCTAGATTTATAAAGAAAGAAACGAACATTCATTGAGGGCCCAACAGGCCTGACATCAGCTGCTCACGCATAGCACCAACGAGCACTAACTCCTGGCTTTGCCTATGATGAGCTGTGTGACTTCGGGCAAGTCAGGCAGTGCCTCTGAGCCTTAAGTTTCCTTATGTGACAAATCACACAGGCAGCAGGTGAGAACCAGATGAAAGCGTCTGTGAAATCATTTGAAAAACCTTAAGAAAGCCTCCCCATAAGGTGCAGGTCCCGGGCGGTGCCTGACGTTCTCCTCCCTCAGTTGCCACGCTCAGTCTGAACTTCCACCTCCCAGGCTCAGAAGGGTCCAGCTTTGACTCCTGTACCTGATGTAGTTTGACAAGCTCAGACTGAATTAGGAGCCAGCCACATAACTTAGCGAGTCTTCTCCCACACCTGACTTCTGGGTGAAAAATCAATACACCAAGCAAAAGGTACTGTGAGAAAGGGGGCCAGAACCATCCCCTGGGTTTTAGAGAGAAAAGCCAACAAGCTGCATCTTCTTGCAGAATTTATGCTTTTCATTTTTGGATATCAATACACAAGCCCTAGAGGGATAAGGACCCCTGACGGTGGTGGGCTTACTTTAACTCCAAAAGGAGAGAAATTATTCTGGTGTCAGCCCCTGGGAACGAAGGCCGGGGCTGAAATCAAATCCTGTAAAGGCAAAAGCCTCGGGACCCTAGGGAATAACCAGAGTCCATCTCCAAGGGTGAGTCTACACAGCTCATCTGGTTTTCTTTCATTCAAACCACAACGAATCCATCCTCCACCCATCTAACTCCTTCCTTGACCACAGCTACTCTGCATCTCCCTTGTTGGCCCTTAACTTTTCCCCTTACCTCTCCCTTCCACCAGTAACCACAGAAACCTCAGCCATCCTTCACCGGATCCAAACCACCAACCACATCCCAATCTAACTTCACAGTGAGATCAAAACCCACTCACTTCCATGGCCAGCTATGGCCCAGTGTCACCCAACACTCCTCCATCAATGTCTTACAACCCTTTGATTTGCTCCCCTTTCTTAACCCCCTTTCCATGGGCTCTACCACCAACCTGGCCTCTGCCTTCAGTCATATGACTGCCTTGCCCACACTCAACTCAGGTCTGGTCTATAAACCTGGCATGCTCCCAAGCCTCCTTCCCCATCATATAATCCTAGCGCCTCACCTATGCTCCCATAAACCTCCCAGGGCCTGCCTCCCTGACCTCGTGGTCACCCCATAAACCTGCTTACCTGCCACACTACAAACACCTCTAAAACCCTCCACCCTTTCCCAGAAACCAACCTGTCTTTTCTAGAAACTTAACATTGATTCATTCATTCAACAAATGTGTTTTAGGCACCTACTGGTTGCAAGGCACTGCACCAGGCCCTGGAGAAGATGCAGTGCACGGAGCTAGGAGCTCTCCAAGAGTGTATACGTGGTCAGAGCCCTTTTGCAATACTGGCTGACCCAACTCCAGTACGGATCTAGTATACAGTATGTAGCAGCAAACACGTACTGAGCACACTCTCCATGCAACACTACGTGTGCATTATCTCACTGAATACTCACTCAGCCCTGCGAGGCAGATTCTACTATCAGCACCATTTTACAGATGGGGAAACGGAACCATACAGATAATAATTCAGCAGGAATGTGCCAGGCCCTGTGCGAGATAATCCCATGAGACAGGTTCTGGGATTATCCCCAGTTTACAGAGGAAGAAACTGAGGCTTACAAAGGGCACTAACAATCACATCAATAGCTAGCATCTACCCAGGGCTGACTTTACGCCAGGCTGGGCGCTAAGCACTTTCCCAGCTTTATCTCATCAAATAGTCAACCACCCAGCGAGGCAAGTCCCCACTTCACAAATGAGGGAACTGAGGCTCACAAAGGCGAAACAACTTGCCCAAGGTCACAGAGTGAGGAAGCTGGTAGTCCCAGAACTCGAACCCGGGTCTCTCCAACTCCATGCATCGCGCGACTTGACCAAGGTCACACGTGAGGCAGGGGCAGGCGCGGCGAGAGAACCGGGCGCCCCAGCCCCGACCCCCGTGCGCCCCGCGCGCCCAGCCCCTCCGCTCCGAAGCCAGGTGCCCCAACCTCACCTCGAGGCCGCCCGCAGCCCCTCGGCGCGTCCCTAGAGCTGGCGGCCGCCGGGCAGCCCCGCCCCGCGCGGGCCGGCACCTCCCCGCCCGCCTGCCCGCCCCGAGGCCCCCGCGGGCCGCGCCCGGCAGGGCCCACGCCGCCTCCGGCCGCCGCGGCCCTCACCGCTGTCGCCGATGATGAGCAGCTTGAAGAGGTGGTCGTAGTCCCGGGCCATGGCGGGCGGGGGAGGCGCGCGCGGGCGGGCGGGGTCGGTGCTGGCCTCGCGATCCGCAGCTCCCTCTGGGCTGCTTCGGCAGCGGCGGATCCACTTCCCGAACAAACAGCCGGAACTGACAGAAACACCTCCCTCCTCTCCCCCCCCCCCCCCCCCCCCCCCCCCTCCTCCCCCTCCTCCCCCTCTTCAGCAGCCGCCGCCGCTGCCACCGCCTCCCTCCTTCCCGCCCCGCCCCGCCAGTGCGCAGGCGCAGCGTTTGACACCGCCTTTGCGCAGCCGCAGCCGCGGCCAGCCGCGCCCTCTCCGCGCTCGCGCACCGCGCAGGCGCCCTGGCGGAGGCCCGCGGGCGCGGGCTTGCCTTACCTGCGTCTCGTCGGCGAATGTTGCCGCAGTCGCGCGCGGCCCTGGGGGCTCGGAGAACCGGGGTGCTGTGGAGCCTTCAAGGACGCCGAGAGCGCCGGAGAAGCTCGGCCGTGGCCCGGGACGGATTGGCTCCTTCATCTTCGAGAGCCGCAGGCGCTGCGGAGACGGAAAGAGCGGCATGCAGTGACCTTGGAGGCGGGGCTTACGCCGAGCTCCCGGTGTCTCGAGACCCGGGACCCGGACACTCCGCCCCCTTCCGCGCGGACGCCGCCTCCGGGGTACTGGTACCGGGCCTGCGGACTGGACGCCCAGGCGGTCGCTGGCTGCCCAGTTTTGAGGGACACGAGTTGCCGGCGGAGCGGAGCGTGAGAGGAGTGTGGCCTTTGAATCACCACTAGCCCCGTGACCCCATGGAGCCTGGGTTGCCTCCTTGGTAAAATGGGGAGGGCAGTTCCAGAGTCAGAGTCCCGTCCACCCTGACGCCGAGCCGGTGTGAGCGGCACCCGGAGCCCGAAGCAGCAGCTCCTTCGGCTTCAATTTTACACCGCCTACACAGTCACATCTCAAAAGCGTGTGGTTAGGAAGACCTGGGCCGCCAGGAATTAAGCGGGATTGGGTTTATCATCAACTCCAGTTTTTTCCCTGTTTTAGAGTAAGTTCCCACCTGCCCTAAAAGTGAGATGCTACTACTGCCATTCTGAGAATTGCGGAGAATTCGAAGTTCCTTGTAGCCCTGCCCCTTTCCAGTCAAGTACCTGTTGAATAGTTCTACTCTTTTTACCATTTTTAGACTTTATAAAAAGTAATACTCATGGTTTAAAAAACTGTACAGAAGTTTACCCCAAAGTACAAGTTACTGTTTTTCCTTAAGACCCACTCCTCCCGGGGCGCCTGGGTGGCTCAGTTGGTTAAGTGACTGCCTTCGGCTCAGGTCATGATCCCGGAGTTCTGGGATCGAGTTCCGGGATCCAGTCCCGCATCGGGCTCCGTGCTCAGCGGGGAGCCTGCCTCTACCCTCCCCCCCTCTCATGTACTCTCCCTCTCTCATTCTCGCTCTCTCAAATAAATAAATCTTTAAAAAAAAATAACTAACTTACATTTAAAAAAAAAAAAGACCCACTCCTCCCAGGTAACCTTCGTTAGTAAGTTCCTTGGACACTTTAAGATGCCTAAGAAATATTTGTTGAATGAATTAATGTCCTTCAAGGAATTTCTGTGCCTATGCAAACACATACATGTATGAATGTTGCCTTTTCTCTTTACCAACATACTTGGGCATTCTGTCATTTAACAGCTGCGTGGTATGGTACGCTGTCATAGGGTTGGTTATACTGTAATTTAACCACTCTGCTATTGATAGGCATTCATGTTGTTTATAATTTGTTATAAACAAGGTCGCAGGGTAATTTGTTATAAACAAGGTCGCAGGGAAGATCCTTTAACAGCTCATGGAGTGTCCAGCTCAAGTTTTTAGTTGTTTTTCCAGGAGCTAAGAATCAGGTGTGGTGATGTCAGAAGAACATGGACTTGGAATCTGCCTGGGAGAGGAGCTGTTCATATGACCTTTTAAAAAAAAAAAAAATTTAATTTAGAGCACACAAGCAGGGGGAGGGGCAGAGGTAGAGAGAGAGAGAGAGAGGATCCCAGGCAGACTCCATACTGAGTGTGGAACCCATCACCTGGCTCAGTCCCAGGACCCCGAGATCATGACCTGAGCCAAAATCAAGAGTTGGCCGCTCAACCAACTGAGCCACCCAGGCACTCTTCATATGACCATTTAAAAGTGTTCCTTCTTGGGGCACCTGGGTGGCTCAGTTGATTAAGAGGCCGACTCTTGATTTTGGCTCGGGTCAGGAGCCATGTGAGTTGGAGCCCTGAGTCAGGCTCTGTGCTGGATGTGGTCTGCTTAAGATTCTCTCCCTTGGGCGCCTGGGTGGCTCAGTCGTTAAGCGTCTGCCTTCGGCTCAGGTCATGATCCAGGGATCCTGGGATCGGGTCCCACATTGGGCTCCTTGCTCCGCGGGAAGCCTGCTTCTCCCTCTCCCTCTCCCCCTGCTTGTGTTCCTGCTCTCGCTCTCTCTCTCTCTGTCAAATAAATAAATAAAATCTTAAAAAAAAAAATTCTGTTTCCCTCTGCCCCTCCCCTGCCCTCCTCCCCATCTTGCTCTCTAAAAAAAAAAAAAAAAAAAAAAAAAAAAAAAACGTGGTCCTTGATCTAGGAAAGGTTAGCGGGATCCCCTCTGATTCAGCCGTTTTAGGAAATAGAAGGGAAGAAGTAGCGACCAGGTATGCACACTTGACACTGACCAGCCAGTGAGGCAGGAAGGCCACTCCAGCTCATCTTAACCTACTCTGGAGTCAGAGAGACTTTGGTTCAAATGCCACACCCAACATGGGACTTAAACTCACGACCCTGAGATCAAGAGTCACGTGCTCTACTGACTGAGCCAGCCAGGCACTCCAAATGCTAGCTCTGAAATCCTGGCTCTATCCCTTAAAAGTTTTGATATTTACAACGTCACATCACATCTCAGAGCCCATTTCCTCACAGAATAGTTGTGAGGATGAGAGAGGTTTGTAAATTATCTGGCATATACAGGCACATGATAAACAGCAACACGATGTTAGCCACGATCATTTTGCACTGACTCATACTTTTCAGCCGTTTCCTATTGTAGACACCTGTTGCACACGTTTCCAAGGCAGTCTCCTGATAATCAGGCTGCAGGATACTTTTACTCAAAAGTAGAGCAGAGGGGCGCCTGGGTGGCACTGTGGTTAAGCATCCGACTCTGCTTTCGGCTCAGGATGATCTCAGGGTCGTGAGATGGAGCCCTGCATCGGACTCTGGTCAGCTCAGAGTCTGCTTAAGTTTCTCTCTCCATCTCTCCCCCTCCCTCGCCTCGCACACACTTGCGATCTCCCTAAGTATTTTTTAAAAATATTTTATTATTTGTCAGAAAGAGAGCACAAGCAGGGGGGGAATGACAAGCAGAGGGAGAAGCAGGCTCCCGCTGAGCAAGGAGCCCAGTGCGGGACTCGATCCCAGGACCCTAGGGTCATGACCTGAGCCAAAGGCAGACGCCTAACCAACTGAGCCACCCAGGCATCCCTAGATAAATGAATCTTTAAAAAAAGGGGGGGGGGGCGCCTGGGTGGCTGAGTCGTTAAGCGTCTGCCTTTGGCTTGGGTCATGATCCCGGGGTCCTGGGATGGAGCCCAATATCAGGCTCCCTGCTTGGCGGGAAGCCTGCTTCTCCCTCTCCCACTCCCCCTGCTTGTGTTCCCTCTCTCGCTGTGTCTCTGTCAAATAAATAAAAATCTTTAAAAAACAAAAAAAAAAGAGCAGAATTGGCCATTGTGAAGACCAGATTTCTGACTTGCCTGCCCTTGTCTGCTGGAAAACAATAGGCATTAATTAATCATTTATTAACTATTTAATGGGTGCTTACCATTTATTATATGACAGGTTGTAGACTAGAGCCTTTTCCCTCCAGGAGCTGATAGTCTTTTCAGAGGTAAGACATAAGGAATTAAAAATACAAGACAATGCAGTAGATAAAGCAGCTGTCAAATAAGCAGTCTAGACTTAAGAGGGAGACAGCTATCACTTTTAGCTCAAATGATGGGGAAGATTTCATCATAAAGATTTCATGATGGAATTGGAACTTAAGAGCCTTGAATGACAGGTGTATTTAGACAGCTGCTGTCACAGTCTGAGAATCATCAATTTTGGTTTGGAGGGGAAATTCCCTATAGGCCAGGATATGTGCCTGGTGTCCCCCAAATGAAATGGAGCATATTTCCTCTAGAAACATTGGTGGGGTTTTTTTATTTAATTTTTTTTGGGGGGGGTGGGTAGAAGGAGAGAGAATCTCAAGCAGGCTCCAAGCCCTGTGTGGAGCCCAGCATGGGACTCCGTCTCACGCCCCTGAGATCACAACCTGAGCTGAAATCAAGAGTCGGACACTAAACTAACTGCACCACCCAGGTGCCCCCTAGAAATATTGCTTTACACTTATTTAAACTACAATTCAGTAGTGGGCTATGTTCTGGTAGGTGGGAAGATAGGTAGGTGGATAGAGGTAGGGAGAAAGAGAGAGGGAGAAACTATAAATGTACAAAATTATAAAGTGCGGGACCTAAGGTAGGCATCTGAATGCGCCACCGATGGGAAACCCGGTCCCGCTCTTCTGAACAGCCAGTTTCCAGAGGAGATTTTGCGGTGCCACCTGTTTGCACAGTAGAAACTATAACGGGGAGGCAATAAAAGTTTCTGAGCAGAGGAGCAATATCAACCTATTATTTTAAGAAAGTAGTCTGGTGCAAGCATGCAGAGTGGATTTCTGCTGCTGAGCTTTCAAGGAGGTTACTGCTGAAGGCCAGGTGTGAGGGTAACAGCAGGAAGGGACAGATGCAAAGGACAATATGCAAAAACCACATCAACTAGAGAAAGCAGCGTTGCAAAAAACAATCACGGAACTTACCTGGCAACTGGATTCATTTGCTAATTCAAAAAATACATGAACGCCTACTAGGTGCCAGGCACCAAAGACCTAATGTGAGCCAAACAAGGCCCATCCTCATGGAGCTTACGGTACAATAAGGAAAGACAAGTCATTCCTTCACGTTTGAGGGCTTCCCGTGTACCAGGCACTGACCTAAGGGAAGCATTAGCACTAAATAAAATTTTTAAATCTCTGCTTTCACGGAGCTGACATTCTGGCAGAGAATACGAATATTAGGGTGCCC